TTGGTTGAAGTTGTATATTTTAATCATGAGAAATGGGTCATTAGTTAAACAAAGTGATGCAACTGTGTAGACAATCTCTTTATCTTCCCATTTAAGCATAATATTCGTTTGGTGAATATTTGATCAAGTAAATGACTCAATATTTTGAGAAGGTATTCTAACAGTTCCGACTAAATTATCAGGCAATTTAAATAAATACTTGGATAAGGTTCGCCATAAAATGAAAGCTTACGAGCAGAAGAGGCGTTGATGAATAAATACATATATATGTATATGTGTGTGAAAAAGGAACATGTTTTATGGGACTTTTTCACCTTCTCTTTGGCGGTATGGAGAAAAAATTGAAAATGACTCACAACCAAACATGGTATTAAGATCAACACTATATAATAAATTCTGTCTCGCGCTCAGACTGTTGAATTTCTATAAAGGAAAATATAATCACTTATTGGCTCTCCACTGGCGAACGAGAGTGTGTATCTGGTAGTAGCAAAATGATGTGAATTATGTTGAGAGATAGCAAAAGGAATTCACTTCTAGATGGAAAGGTTGATTTATGTGTTTTGGTACATGGTCATTCTATATGGGAGGGAAAAGAGTGTGTGCAAGAGTGAGAAGAGAAGGTGGAAAAACATTGCAAAGCGCGTGTCTATCTTATTAAATGGTTGAAGATTGAGTGTGGAAAAAAGTGGGGGAGAAATATGTTAAAGAAGTGATGATGTTTTTTTTTTCTTTCAACTATTCCTCTCATTCATTTGTTACCTTTATTGCTACAGATAATTCCAAAATGCTAAAGATGTGTGGAGAAAGATGTGTGTAATTTTTTTCTGCATTGGCTTTTTTGTACACACCATCTCTAATAGGGGGTTGGCATGCAATTTTGCGATATTTACTTTCTCACACATATTTTTTGTGTTTGGGCTTTTGCAAAATATACTGCATTTGGAGCCAATATCTTAGAGAGAATGAGAACGAAAGAAGAAACAATGTGGCTCTAAAGTAAGTTCTGATCTTCTCTCTTTTTCTAATTCATGAGTTGGAATTTCTTTTTCTAACTGTGGAAAATCTCTTTAAAAAAAATTCAGGGAATTCTTCACGAGAGAGAAACCATTAAAGAAGAAAATCCCAGTATTATTGGTTGGGTTTTGAAAAATCCCTGGTATTTTTCTCACTTTTATTCCATTTAAGAGTTTGGAATTTTGGTGTGACATGCGGTGGTATTTTCACGCGAAAGTCGCTTCTGTGTTGCTTGCAAGTCATTTGAGATGAAGTGAGAGAATGATCTCTCGCTCTTGTTTTGTTTCTTTCCGGGCTTTTGTTATTAACTAAATACATACATATCTTATGTATATGTTTCGGATGGTGCAAGTGGCAATTTACCACGTATATTTTTGTTCTTTTTATGCCGCCAAGTTTTTCATTTGTACCAAACATTGTGGTTTGCAGTGTCTTTTTGCCATGTTCAATTGACTACGTGGAAGTTTTTGCACTAGCATTTATATTTGCCGGATAGATTCTATACTTATGTTCGATTAAAAAGAGATTTATCTTCAATACGAATGTCCTTCGCATTTCTTGGTAACTCTGACATTACAGAGATGGTGAAAAACAGTATATATCGTATAAAATTTTATCAGAAAAATTGTAGTACGTCAAGTGTGGAATATATTCATGAAATCAAAAAGATAAAGAGAGAGAAGAAAAAGCTCCATGATGTGAGAAGAGAAAATTGAGAAGTGGGTGGAGAAGAATTAAAACATTTCATTCATTTATCAATTTTTCTCTCCTCATCGCGTCACTCCCTTGCTCTGTGTGTATATATGATCAATTCCCCTCTTTGTTTTGCATTTTTGCATTATTATTATAACTTTTCTTGGTGCCCATGAGGGAGAGAAAGATAAATAGAAGACAGAAAAATTATACAGCTTGAGTTGCGGGAGTGAGAGAAGAAGAGAAAAAAAGCGCCTAGCGCATCTAAATTTAGCGATGATCATTGATTTGCAACAAAAACGAAATCAATAAACAACTCACTTGAAAAATCATCATCGCATCATTTTCATGATCACTAAGGCGCGAGTGAGGTAAATTATGGACTAAATGGTGATGAGAAAAAAGGCCTTAATGTTATAATTATTTCAGTTGGAGTGAAGAGATGATGGTGATGGAAAAGTGCGCGATACTAAATGAAAAATGTGGTTTAGAAAAGCTTTCATGCCGCGCGCGCGCATCTCTTTTGCTTGGCCACACAAGATATGGAGTTGGGAATTTCCATTATTATTATAACTCTGTATTTTTGTGCAGCGCGCAGCTCATTTGGTAGTCATGAAATCGTGACTGCCAAAAAATTTATGTGACTTTGCTAATTTGAAAAAAAAAAAAAATCTCTCGTTATGATTAAAAAGCAAAAATCAGTAAATCAACTTCTTGACAGTCAATTTCACTAATTCTCTCTCTCTCACTCTCTGTGTCTTGTGTTTCCGCAAAAGATCACCTTCTATTGCGGGTAAGAAAGGAAAGATCTTTGACTATATAAATTGAATATAAATAGCCGAAGACAATACATGCTAATTTTGGGCATCGCCAAGCGTGAAATGCATATAAAGATGGCCATTCGATGAAATTGACATTAACACTGGCGAGAGTTCGTGTACATAAAAGGGCAAATTAATGAAGAGTGATGAATTAGAAGGCATTTGGCGGTGTCCATAAGGAATGGACAAGCCATAAAAGCTGAAAAAAGATGCAGCGAATAAATTACGTAAACTACAAAAGTTCATTGAATTAATTGGTTTCGCTGCTACACAATGAAGTTTGCCTTTTAGTGAGTCATTACTTGACACACATCTTTAAGACGAGTGTTAAACATCTGACTTACGCTTTATGATCCAAGTAAGAGAGTAAATTTTCAGAGAAGAAAAAGGTGTGAGTGAAAGAGTGACTTTTGAGTAATAAAGTTTTATACTTTGAGAAAAATGGCAGAATATAAAATGAATCTTATATTGTTATTGAGACAAACTTACATTACACTTTTTGACAGATTATTGTAAGAGCACACAAGACTTGTGACTTTTCCCCTCCTTGAATTTGTGAATATATTCGCCGCGTCTCGTCATATTCTTGAAGTACATTTTGTAATTTCAATGTATGTTATGTGACGATGATGTCATGTTCTGCGATATTTGTCGTGTGACTTTTTTCTCCATCTCCTTCTCTTTATTCACATGCTTTTTCTTCTACTTTAATTTAATATTTCAAAGTGAGCGAGAGAGAGAGACTTTATTTACTTTTCAACGTGGTTTTTTTTCGTCTGTAATGCTCAAGAGAGTCTCTATGGAAATTTCACCGTAGGAAAACTTCTTCATATGTGAATTTTTATATAAAAGGCGTGTTTGTCATCAGTGCGTCAACAAGAGCACCTTTGCTTCAATGAATTTTTAGATCATCTCTTGGGTGGAAAAAAATATTTCCACATTAAATTTCACAGATGGAGAAAATGGGAAAATATTTACCTTGGGCAAGAGCCCAGAGGTACGTTTTATTGCTCTTCTAAAATGGAATTTAAGATTGGGCGCGAGTGAGAGAGAGAGAGAGAGAAGGTCTGTTGAAAAAATTATATCAGCAAGTTTCATCTCTATTTCGACCTCTTGCGCATATTAAATTGTTCTTGGATCTCCGCGCGCACTTTTAGTCTCCCCAATCTTCTTCCCTCCGCCGCCCCTTATGCTTTTTTAAGAGGTGTTTTAATTTATGTAAATATGTTAAATGAATTTTTTACTGCAAATAAAGAGGCACCGAAAGAAGTGTAGAGGAAGGAGAAAAAATAGTGAGGGAAAGGGCAGAAGCAGATGCTAAATCATCATCGTGTCGACACAGAGTGTCGAAATACAATTTTTCAAGAACATTTAAGAAGTAATTCAATTGTTTTGGGTGCACTTGGGGCGAACAGACAAAAAGGTGAAATTGCAACAGTGAATGAGTCGAAAAAGAGAGAGAGGGAGCAAACACGAAAGGAAAAGAGTATTTAAAGTCGATCTTGATGAAGGAATTATCGTCATGAATTCTTTTCTGGCTGCGCCAACTTCTTGATAGAAGTGTGTAATTATGATCATATGATCATGCCGAATGAAAACTGTTGAGCGCCTTTCCGTCCACCTTTTATCGATAAGTCAACATCTGCTTCGTGACTTACTGGATGAGGGAAATTGGGGAGAGGAAGTGGCTGTAAAAGTGCAAATTGACGCTGGAAAGTAATTCCGAAATGTGTGTCAGAAATATTTGATAATTGACCAATCGAACGGGATGAATTTCCTCTCAACAATTTCCTCATTTTTCATCATTCGTACAAAAGAAGAATGGAAAAAGTTCGTTGGAGATGTATAAGAATGGTGATGTTTGGGACGTTGACTGAATAGAAAACTAACATGGTTGATGACAATAAAAAGTATGGACTGAAAAGAGACGCGCCTTGTTTTCACAAAGTCAAACACACCACAAAATATTCTCTATCCTGTTGATGTCTCTGGCATATCGAGTGCGATGACTTTAATATAAAAAGCACTTTGCAGTGATCAGAATTTAATTAACGCTTGAAAATTGAATCTCTCTTTGCGTTTTGATGGTTTTCCAAACACTCAGATATATCTGAATTCAGTCTTGAGGATATCATACATAAGCAGCACAATGCCATCGAGAATCTTCTGGTGAATCACATAATGTTCAGAGGAGCAAAAAAAAAAGTGTGCTTAACTTACGAGTAATGTGTCTTCAAGCCAACACACTCGCTGGCCGATTGTCACCGTCATTGTACGAGGGAAATGCATGAAATGGGGAAATTAACATATTTCTCTCGTCAGTTCTGTCTATGTCTATTTAATCACACAATTCTCTGGTTCCCAGTTTGGCAACGGCGTGGGTGGTGGAATTCGTAGAAAAGACTCAATTTGCTGTGCTTCTTTTCTCATTTTGAGCGTGTGTAAATTAATTTGTCTTGTCTTTTATAGGCATCCACCATTGATGGACGAAGAAAGGGAGCTTGTCTGTTTTGTCAGGAGTACTTTATGGACTTGTATCTTCTGGCCGAATTGAAAACAATCAGTCTAAAGGTAAATTTCACAATACATACACATTTAATTGTAATATAAGCAATGCAATTGACTAGAGAGGAAGTGATGAGACAATGTGAAGAGCGCATTTTATTTAAAAAAAATTGTTTTGAAAGAGAAAACAAAGTGAAATTTATGTATTTTACGGGGAAAATCCAGTTATAGTGCTTTAATATTCTGTGTTTTGATGGGAATTTGTGTCAAAGACACATTTCTAAATTTATATATCTCTGGGTATAAATTCTCTCATTCTGTTATGGTGCTTTATTCTTTCTCTATCTCACTTTCTGTGCCGTTTCTGTTTTGTGATAATTAATTCAACAGATGGCAAGAGTAGAGTTTAAGGATGACGTCTTGCCGAGCGCGACATGAGAAAAATGTTGGTGAGAAAAGCTCTGTGATTCATAATCACTTCCTATCTGTGCTCACTTCTTTTTTGCTAATTCTTCAATTTTATTGATGATATAATTGTTTAAACACGTAACATATCTTCGTAGTCGCTTGTTCTATAAATGAGTGGCTCTAAACTCCGGTGTGTGTGTGTTTAGCGAAAGAGGGGCAAAAAATGATGATGGAGTGCCGTGAAAAGTTCTGCGAAATGTTAATTGCAACTCACTGTGTTTTCTTCTCTTTTCCGTCGCAAGGTCACAACAGTGGATATGCAGAAACCACCTCCAGATTTCCGCACCAACTTCGAGGCAACACATCCACCAATTCTCATTGATAATGGTCTCGCCATACTGGAGAATGACAAAATTGAGCGGCACATCATGAAAAATATCCCAGGCGGATACAATTTGTTCGTGCAGGACAAAGAAGTGGCGACACTCATTGAGAATTTGTATTCCAAATTAAAACTAATGCTAGTGAAAAAGGACGAGACAAAGAATAATTCACTGCTGGCGCATCTGAAGAAGATCAACGATCACTTGGCGAGTCGCGACACGCGATTCCTCACCGGTGACACAATGTGCTGTTTCGATTGTGAACTGATGCCCCGCTTGCAGCACATCCGAGTGGCTGGAAAGTACTTTGTGGACTTTGAAATACCCGTGAGTAAATTTGGTTGATTTGAAGCATTTATTCACGATATATTGCACAAAATATTGATATACGCGAACGCGCCAAAACATTTTGTGCACAACATTCTATTACATGTCAAGAATTCATCTATTCGCTCCAATGGCATTTACTTTCTTTTATCTCTATCTCGCTTTTATGCCTTTTTTTCTCTTCTCACTTCACCTTAATAAATTACACGTGAGAGATCTCTGAAAACGCACTTAAAAAGGCAGATTCATTTGGAATTACATACATATACACAAATCTTCCACAAAAATGCGTCCGAAAAGCTCAATAAGAAATAGAAATCATGTGAGAAGAAAGGAGAGATGAAATGTGCACGTAATCTTATTTTTTTTAGTGTGTGTTTGTGTGCAGAAAACTGTAAAGTCGGATGAAAGTGAAATAGTTTTGTGACGAAATTTCACTATCAAATTATTGGCCATTTCACTCCAGATTTATTCAAATTCAGTTTGGTTGTTAATTATTATCTCATCTGTGGCGGTGGTGTAGATAATTAAGATTTTCTCTCTCCTTCTCTCTTTATCTACGATAAATTTTATGTGTTGTTTATGTAAGACAAAAAGCACAGTGAAAAGGCGGTTGTATTGATTTTTCTTCTGTATAATATTGCATAAAAATCAATTTTTTATGCAAATATGGCAAAAGTTGAGAATGAGTGGAATATACAATTTGAGGTGGTGAATTAGAATTTAAAACTTGCATTTTGCTCTCTGATTCAATGATTTTTCATTTCAGTGTGGAAGAGAAAAAGAGATTTGTGTTAATGGGATGTGACCCTCACTTTATGCCACCCAAACATTCATGTATAAAGTGTAATTTCGCGGAGAGAATTGTATTTTGTATTCAGATTGGAGTCACATGACAGTGGAAATGTGGGATATTTTATTAATGCACCTCTGCTATGGTTTATTTTATAATGTTACAGACACACCTGACATCTCTTTGGCGCTACATGTATCACATGTACCAATTGGACGCGTTCACGCAATCGTGCCCCGCTGACCAGGACATTATTAATCACTACAAATTGCAACAGGTATGAAATCTTCACACCTTCAATGCCTAAACTCTCATTTGCTACAACGTTAGATTTCCTTGCACATACGTTAGAAGCTTGATTTCTATCATCTCTTTAGATATTACTTTCCATTTACTAATTGATTGATTTTTCTTTGCATTTGACTTCCTACTCTTATAAAAATGGCATGATAATACTAAAAACAAAAACAAATCAAGGCTAAAGGTGATCCAAAGGTACGTCAAAGTGGTAAAATGAAGAATCATCTGCCTCTGATTGTCTGTGATGTGTTTATCATTCCCGATTTCCAATAAATAGACCTTTCCTATTGTCACGAAATTAGCTGATAGCATCGCGTCAGCAATTTCGGCGCTTGATATTGCGATAGTGTCTAAGATTAGTGGTTTATGTGATAGAATTGGTTGCGTATTGAGTGGAAATTTTAGCCAATGTTTTATATGATTTGCGGTTCATTGGGTCAATTCGTGCGAATGATTGATTTCGTGAGAAATTTTTCAATAATAATTCTGGGGAAAACTGATTAATTTTAGCCCATTATTATTATTTAATGTTTGGTGAAGGAATGTTTCTTGTGTGGCTTTACTTTTGTATGCTTTTTCAAAAATAAAACAAATCCTTAAATGCTGAATTTTTCTACCTCTGTAGGTATTGTCTCTTGTTTGTAATTGTATGTGTTGGTTTTTCACTGAAAACACAATCACTTTCGGGCAAAGGAGTGTGACTTATTTTACTTTTAATTTCAATTGCAGATGCTTAAAATGAAAAAGCACGAAGAATTGGAGACACCAACGTTCACGACATCAATTCCAATTGATATTTCTGAGTGAAAATTGAGCAGACAGGCGGGAGAAGAGAGTGAAGGGAGAGCAGAGGAAAGTTTTGGCGCTGCAGCGGAAAATCGCCCCCACAGAGAGTATTCCGAGAACATGAGAGGCAATGAGAGATCACAAGAACCATGAGAGAAGCTTCCGACGATTTCAGCAGATACATTTTCAAACGAGCATGTGTTTTTTTTTTAAGTGAATACACAACCAGTTTCCTTAATTATCGACAGAAATAGAATATATGCAGAAAAGAGCTATAAATATTAATATATTAAATGTAATATGTACATGAAGAAAGCTATTTGATAGGGAATAAATTATTAACAATAGAGAGAGAGTGAGAGAGGAAAAAAAACGAAAATAGAGCATGCAAAAAATTTTGTACCAACAGAGAAAAAACATTTTCCGAAACTTTTTTACCAGATAGAAAGAGCAAAAGATAAAATATATATGATAAAAGTGAGAAAAAAGTGGAAAATTCTTTTGTACTGTAGAATGGATAGTGAAGCAGAGAAAATACAATGAACTGAGAAAAGTATAAAACAATCAAAAATGATTTGTAGAATTAATAATAATGAGATGTACATAAAGTTTATTTTTTTAAATTTTAAGAATGAAAAATGTAATATTTGAAGTTATTTCTCTTTCAATCTATACAATATTTAAAGGAGAGAAAGAAGGATATCTGTTCCACTGTTTAGTCTATTAATGCCAACAAAAAAAATACTTTTTTTTTCTTAATGTCTTTTTCCCTTCGCAAAGAAGACGAAAGTTTGTATGAAATAATAGCTCTTGAAGAGATATTTGTCCGTTTTCTTTCTCCTTTTTTAATTGATACAAAAATATTATTCAAATAAAATGGAATTTGCCATAAGTTTGTGTATTTTTACTGCGCCCTTTAGCTTTTCCTTCATTTTTTTCTATTTACAATCTGGATTGTAGATGATTTTCCATTTAAACAAGATGATTGAAAATATTTTCAATTTTTTGCCCTTTTATTCCTCACCATAAAATCCTATGAAATCAACAATATTGGTCGTGTTTCGTAAAATCTCATTACAAAAAAAGCATTCACTATAATTTGTACGATGAAAGAATCGGCCAAGTTCTGCGATAGGCGTCTTTGGGCAGAGCTGCCTTCAGGAAGATGTGAGTCAGATAAGCAGTGATGCCCCAAATCTTGGCCGGAGTGTTGACGTAGGCGGGAATCACGAGCCCTGTCTTGAATTGCGTGTGCCTGTGATTCTCCGGGGCAATCAAATGATCCAGAGAAACGTTGAATACTCGCTCGACTTCCTCGGGATTGATTTTCAGCTTCAAATCACTGAAATTCTTCACACTCCCAATCACAGGGTAAATTGTGATGGCTTTCTGGCCAGAATATGGCACTTTGAGGGGCGCTGCGGTGCCCCAGACGTCAATAAAGCGCCTTTGCAGGCCGATTTCTTCTTCCGTCTCCCGCAGAGCGCAGTCTTCCCACGAGTTGTCCGTGGGATCTCTCATGCCGCCCGGAAAGGAAACCTGGCCAGTGTGCCTGGAGAGATTCCCAGAGCGCTGAGTATACAGCAGCGACAGGATGTTGTCCTTCTCCTCGCAGATGGCAATCAGGACCGCGGCCGCTCTCTTATCTTCGCCTGAAGACAGTGGGAAGAAGGGCTTTGCCATCTTCTCGAGCGTCTGCAGGCGATTCGCCGGCGACAGGATGGCTTCATTGCAGAGTTGCACAACGCGTCCCGTGGGCATTGTATTGTCTAGAAGGAATATCACAGGATATTATATTAGAACTATTTACATAATAAAACTTATCTATGAAATTATGCTTCAATGATTTGACGTTTCACGCTGAAGAAAATGTTCTCCAGATGGCAGCATGAGAGATCGCGCCAAAAAAAGAAAAGTGCGCATTTTCGACTACAATCATTTTTTTTGGGTTTATTGGTAATGTTTTGAGTATAATTTCCATAAGTTTTTAATATTCGCACATCTGAATACACGTCTGATATCGACACTTCGCCTATCAATTGATAAATATGTTAACATTTTTTCTCACTACAAGTTTTCACCTATAATTCTGTAGGTTTTTGGCATTCTTTAAAAATTCTTGGTAACAAATGTAACAAAGTCAGTATATTACGTTTAGTAGACAACATGTTTTTTACTGTTAATATACCTGCTTACGATTTGGCATCTAAGAGTGTGGATTACAACCTACTAAAAACTTATTTATCTACTTGGTTTATTTATTAACATTTATACTTTTGGTTTAGCATTTCAACATCTTTGACTATTACACTAAATTTAGACGATAATTTTCTCTTTGACACCTTTTCAAATTGAGGGAAATTATTCAATGAAACCGACAAATTGCTGGTCAAATGCAAGAAACATTCACAATCTTCCAAAACCATCGCCACAATTAACACACATTCTACGATGATTCTTTGCTCGTTGATTTGCCAAATATGAGTGTTGTGAACAAATTAAATTAGTAAATCCAACACTTCAACGCCTTTCAACACATGGAAGCTCTAAAAATGTGGCAGAGAAAGGAAACGTTGAAGGGACAGCTTAGAGAACGGTCTCCATTTCGGCAATTTCCGTCTTGTAAGACCACCTGAAGAGGTTCTGATCGCTTCCGCCGAGACTGAGATTGCCCAGCAAAGGAGGACGACAGCGATTCTCCTTGTATGCCGCACTCAGGAGGTCAGAAGCTGAAGACAACCTTGGGAAGGAAGCCAAGAAAGCAGTCGATTAGCGTGTTTTCCTGGGGAAATTAATTGATTAGTCACTTTATCTGCGGAGGCTTTATTCCGTGATGATCCATCGTCTTCTCTAGCTGTCGAATCCTCAACCTGGCCATGTCCAGCTCGTGCTTCACCTTCCACAAGTGAGTGTCGCAAATGGGATCGCTGCAGCGGTGCTTCCTCAGTATTTCTTGGGCTTCAAAGACAGCGCCGCGGAAAGTCAAGGATTTGCCCATGGAGAGTGAAATGAGGGCACAACAGCCGCCCCCATCGGACTTGGCCAGACGCTTCCGGAAGTATTTAAAGTACACATGCTCGAGAAGTAACAGGAGAGCTGAAAGGATATCATTTAGCTTGCTGAATGGTTCCTTTTTCAACGTCTTGAACTCACCAGCGAGAAGAATTCCTGCCATCAAGAGCAGGAATGCCGATAAGAACTGCTCAAGAGCCAGAGGATCTGATGATTTGTGCTCTTGTCTGCCTTGACGGCACGTGCCGGTCATCCAATACCTTCGCAGACGCTCGAGATCTCCGTTGGCGCGGAATTCCAGGAGTCTCTTGTTGAACATCTCCACATACTTTGAGTTCCTGCTGAAGGCCAAACCGTATCCCGTCATTGCATACCAACTGCCGACAGTCAGAAGGCGACAATCCTCATCCTGCGCCACTAAGTAGTCCAAAACAGTGCCGTCGTAGATAAACGCATTGAGATTCCCATTGAGAACCGCAGCCACGCCCTCGGCAACGTTGGATTTGTTGTATCTGCAAGCAAAGAGAGAACGGATTCACAGACGCACTGGCGAAATTCAATCCTCGGAAACAACTCACTGTGACATATAGTAATGCATATCCTGAAAGTACTTGGCGATCGTGGAGTCAGTGTGACTCCAGGGAATTGTCCCAAACTTGAACACGGGCTTGTGTGAATATGGACGCGAGAGTCTGTGATCATCCAGGCCTGTGAACTCGTGGAATTCCTCTCTGGTGATCATGAAGGCGGCCAAGTTGGCGGTGTAAATGGCCAAGAAGACAACAGCAAACATCGCCCAGACGTTCGTCATGGCTCTGGCGGTAAATCCTCTGGGCGAATCCACATGCACCGCGGCCTGGAACAGCACAGCCCAGACGAGCCAGTAGGTCCTGAACAAGGAGAATCTGTACGGCATCACCGATCCCGTGGTTTGGACAGACAGCTTCATGTCATAGCCACTCGGCGAGAGCCACTCGAAGAGGAAAATCATGAATGTCGCCGCTTGGATGGCCACAATTCCCACCAGCATCCACGAAGCGGTATCAAAGGGCTCCAGAAAAGCTGTGGGCGAGATGATTCCCGTCCTCTTAGCCACCACAATAGCGATTCCCGTCTCCATGAAGGGCTCACTGAAGTCCACAACTGCTTCGCGTTCGGCATTGATCATCAGCGAAGTCAGAACCATGTCGGTCTTGCGATTCACCAGATCTGCGATCAATCCATTCCACTTTCCATTGATCAGCGTTCCCCAGCGGCCGTCTTCGACGCGTACCAGTTCGTAAGTGAAGCCCAGTTCTTCGGCAAACTTCTCCAGCAAATCGATGCAGAATCCGCTGCAACACTGGTAGAAAGAGCTATTCTTGTGCGCCTGCGACACATCCACATCCGCCATGTCCTGGTCAGAAGCCACTCGACAGAGAACGCCTCTGTCCATCAAGCACTTCCCGCTCACGGGATCGGCAGGGGAGAGATTGATGTACGGCGCTTCCTCTAGGAAAGTTATCTGCAAATGAAATTCACTAAAAATCCTTGCCTCTTCAATTCTTGCTAATCAATTCTATACCTTCAGGTGAAACTTTTCAGGAACTCCCTGAGGTGGAGCGTGAGAGTTTCCTGGCCACGCAATGTCTCTGATGTCCAATTTCTGCGGCGCCCATGATTTCCATACTCCAATCTCCTCCCAAACAAGTCCTTTGGTGTTCACGCTCGGTCTGAGATTCATGATCTTCAGCTCAGCTGATTTCAGATCTCCATCGGCAGTGAATTCGATATTGGGCTTGTTCAAATCTCCCTCAATCGACACATTCCGGAGATGCTTGAAAAATCTGTTTGGAGTTTAAAGAGAAGGATTAGAAGAAATTTTGAAGGAAAACCAACGCACATGATCAAAGATTTGCAATCTTTGCTGGTGAATTTGACAAAAAGAGGCCGAAAAAATACTTTGATCACGTGTTGAGTGAAGAAACGATTCTGTGAACGATAAATTTTCAGCAGTTTATGGAACACATATTTCTTAGTACTCACATACTTTCATTCAGAAAACATTAGAAACTCTTCCAATTTTTTATCACATGCTTGATTTTGGCTTAAGAAGGGCGTTTAAGAGTGAGGAAGAAGTAAATATAGAATTGCAAAGTCTTACATTTCGCCGTTGTCCCAGCGCGCCTTTCCCTCGTTCTCGCACGACAACTGGTGTGTGTTGAGCTTCCTGCCGTGATTCCCGGGCTCGTTGAGATAGTACTCTACGCCGTAGGCGAACACCTTGATCGCCGTGGCGATCTCGTTTACCAGTTGTCCGCTGGACGTGTCGAAATGAACGCCGAGCATCCCGACGGGGAATTGCGGGTGCGTCTGCGTGTTCTCGATCACGCTCTGCGTCACCACCCAGACATAATTCTCGCCCGTGAGCTTGAGGTCCTGCGCCGCGTGAAGGATGTCGATGGCCTCGTTTTTCGTGGCGTACAAGAGCATAACGCGCGCTTCACTGTTCACCAACTCCATCAGATCACTGGATCGCGTGACAATGATGGAGTTGAGAATGGTGAATTTGAAGTGATCCATCTGGGCGACCCTCTCACGCACTGCCTGCACGAAGTCATCGTGCCCGGCAATCTGAGAAGTCACCACAGAGAACTGGTGCCACTTGTAGCGCTCCAGGATGCTCAGCATAGCCGCGCTCTGGTGCTCAATGCTCGGCGCCAACTGCAGCTGCAGCGTCGATTGCGACGCGCGCCGCTCTAGGCCCGAATTGTCGGCGTTCCACGAAATCACCGGGATACCCAGGTAGCCGGCCAGCTGCAAGAAGTACTGGGCAGAGGCGGTGCTGCGCCCATATTGCTCATAGTTCATCATGTAGAGAATCGCAGAGACGTTCACCTGGAAGACAAATTGATCACTCGCAAATCATTCTTTTCTTAAAGAATCACAATTTTCGCCTTAGCCTAGAAAGCTTCTTGATCCTTTGACTAAACCACGCAATGAAGATTCTGCACATTTTCCGAAATATTTTCATTTTTTTTAATTTCTGGAATTTCTACACTGTTTTGTATTTATACGATTTAGATCAAAATTAAACAAAAAAGCTTTTCTTTTAATGTGAATCTAATAATTTGATACTTGAAGCTAAATTTGAGTATTTTAGCTCTACAAAACTTCGTGTTTCGACAGAAATTAATATTATATTCTATTAATTATATAAAAGGCGAGTGAAAATCTGGTTAAAATTAAAATTTGGCTATTGAAGTTTTATGCAAATTGGACACAAAGGCTTCCGTGCAGCTTTTCATTAGGCGAAGTTCGTAATTTCAGCAGAATTAAATTGACGTCAAACCTGCAGGAATTGCTTGCAAAGCGTATTGAGAATGGCCGTCGGGCTGGGCGTAAGCGACATCATGTCAAAGTGGATGTTCGCCGGCTGGAAGCCGTAGTCCTTGAGGAAAGTCAACTTCTGACCTCGCGTCTTCGAGAGCGCCAGCACGGCTGAGTTGACCGCCCGAAGGTACTCTCGCTTGCCGAAGTTTGTGTGGGGCGCAATGAGGCCGATGTTGAGCTCATCCTTGCTTGAGGACTTCGTCGACGTCCCTGAGCGCCATCCCGAGGCATTTTCCACCGCCACTCCACAGAGCATGACAATTACGATGCATAGACAGATTTCAACCCTCATTTTCTTCCTCTTTGTAAATTAAACTCACACGCCCAATTGGCGCTCGCCTCCCTTTTGTCTGAGGACACCCAATAATGAATTACATAATAGACCAATTTTCCTCTTCCTGACAAAATTGCCGTGATTTTCCCTTGTAATCCCTTCCGGGAGGGATGCTCCGTGTGAAATGACTCGCTAAGGAAGGTTTAACCAATGTCAAATGCCACCATTTGTCCTTTTTCCGCAACAATTTCAATTCAAATCAAAATAGTTTTCTACTAGCGTTGGAAAATCCGTAAGGACACAGCGAAGGATGAAGAGGAAAGATTTCTGTGGGTATTTTGTCAAAGTCCACGCCCGAATTTTTCACACACTGATTTCCTCACACCCTTTTTCCACACCACAGAAAAAGGGCTTTGCAGTTGCTGAGTGTGTTGAGGAGTCAAACGCCAAACTCCAACTGACTGCTCTGCATTTGCGCCTCTCCAGCTTTACACGGAGTCTCTCTGTCCTTCATCTCATGCCACAGCATCCCTCTTTGCGTTCTTTCGCATTTCCACAACAACGCCACGGCGCATGATTGGCAAAAGGGGAGGGAAAGCACTCCACTGATAAGAGGAACATGTGGCAAGCTGACGTATCAACAAGCTAACAGGTTTCTGAGATGATTGAGTCACTCACCTGAGACTTTGACCCTTTCCATTGATAAACAACACCCTTTTTCGGATTCAGATGGTTGCAAAACGAACCGTTTTTATTTCAATCCATCGGGTTCAGAGGTTTCCAGTCTAGAAACCACCGCCGCCTCCCCAGGAAGCGTTCACCACGTCCTCCTCGTTCCAGTCCTCCGTGGTTGTGGTCGTCGGAGGCACAATGGGCACCTCATCGGCCCAATTCGTGGTCTCCGGCTCCGTCGTCTCGCCCTCGTGCGCGGTCTCGGTCTTGGGCGCCGGCAGAGGTTCCTTCACGGCGGCCTCCTCCTTCTCAGCCTCCTCTGGATCGCGGTAGAAGAACAGATCCACCACCACGTCCCACTTCTTCTCACGCGAGATCTTGTCGCGGAGACGGAGCACCTCGCGCGCCAACATCCACCACATCAGGCCGATGGAGTAGATGGATTTAGTGTTGCACGGAATGGCGATGTCCACAAAGCGCAGCGGACTGTCCGTGTTGCAGAAAGCAATCACGGGGATGTTCACGTAGGAAGCCTCAATGATGGGCTGGTGATCCGTGGAGGGATCAGTCACGACCAACAGACGAGGCTCGCGGAAAGCCGGCTGGATCTGATTGGTAAACGCGCCGGGGGTGAATCGGCCGGCAATCGGAGTGGCACCGGTGTAGTTGGCGAACTTAAGCACAGCTCGCTGGCCGTAAGGACGCGAGGAGATCACGTAGACCTGCAAGGGAAGGCAAGAAGTCACATTACAAACTCATGTCACTGATTGGGAGGAAAATATTGGCACTTGGAGAATTCTATCAGTGAAAAAAGGGGTCATCAGACTATGTCAGACCCGAAAGATGGAAACCATCATTTAGTGACTCTCCTGTGCTGTTCTCGAAGACAACTCACACTTCCTTACCTCCGACATGTGCTCGATGGCAGCGATGGCGCGAGCGGCCAAGAGGAGCTTCTCCCAAGTGCGCCCCAGATTGATGATGTGCACACCATCCGGACGCCTCTTGAAGACGTACTGCTCCATCTACAAGAGCCCGGAAAAACACATGTGAAAACACGCGCTTCAATGAGCGATTTCCGGAAGCTTGTCTCACCTGGAAGTTGACCTTCTCGGAGCCCAAGTGGGTTGTTGCGGCCAACATCTTGGTCACATCGTCCTCCTTCAGGGACAAAATATCAAGTCCTCCCGACATTCTGACGTAAAAGTGAGCAACGAATACCTATAAAGGGTGATAAAAAAGGAAATTGTCAGCCCCTCGGTCTCGGAAAAGTTAACCCCATCCACGTGGTTCAGATATTTGGAGTGAAATCTCAACAAATCACAATAAAACTGCAAAACCTCCACATGCATCGTGCTCGTGAGGGATTCATTTTGCAATTGAACCGTAAGATACTCCCTAATATTAAGTAAATTTGAGTAAAATCGAGGAATTTTCACTCACGTCTTGTATCTGCGGCTGGAACTACGGGCAAAATGGCCGAGAGATGCTATAATCTTGGCCAAGCAAACACGCTGTCAAAAATTATGGGAAACAGTGCCATGCTATTTCGCTCCTTTCGTGTTTGTACTGATAAGAAATCCTCGTGCAAAGGCGTTTTCCAACTAAACGGCGGCATGAAATGTCCCCATTTTCACCACAGAGTGTTTAGTGAGTGTCCGTGAGTGTTCTTCAGTGAGCGTAAGGTGGCGCCGAATGGTGAGAAAGACTGGAGCGGAGGTGGAAAAAATTGAATTTTTTTGTTGGAACGCACTCAAATTCCGGAGATTCACTTGCATGCAAGTAAGTTTTCGCTTCCCTTTGACACTGGCAGCGCATATTTCCAACTTTGTTTGCGGAGGAAAGCCGCATCACGCAAAAGGGTTGTTTTGTGGCCTTTTTCTCACGCGAGGCGGGCGTTTTTCTGTGTGAATTTGTAGTGCGGATTATGCACCAGGCTGCCGTAAGGAGATCAGACACTGAAAAGGACGGTAACTGCGACATGGAGTACGAGAACACCGAGACGGCGCTCGATTCGAGCGGCAGCCACCAAGAGGAGGAGAATCAAAATGGCGAGGACGCCGCAGACGTCCAAGAGGGTGGCGAGTCGCCGGAGAAGGACTACGTGTCCGCTAACGATGACGAGGACGAGGTGAATGACGAGGAAGGCTCAGAGGAGGCCGTGGAGGACGCTACAGCCAAGAAAATCAAAAAGGCGGGCAGAGCCAAGAGCGCCGCGGCGGAGAAGAAGAAAAAGAGGGGCAGGAAAGCGAAGAATGCGAACGGCGTGAAGAAGACGCCTAAGCGATCCACAAAGGAGAACAAGGCACAGAATGATCAGGACGACGATGATGAGGAATATGAGGTGAGCCGAAGGTGATCAGAGTGAGTGGATGGTGTTGTTTTGAGCATTTGTTTTGATTTCGATTCAGGTCGAAGATATAGTGGATCACAAAACCGTTCGCGGCAAGACGCAGTATCGCATCAGATGGAAGGGCTGGGGCGAGAACGATGACACCTGGGAAGCAGAAGACACCCTCTCCTGTCCAGACATTGTCGCCCGATACAAGAAAAAGGTGAGCATCGCATTTATTCCTGTGACAAATTCGGAGATTGTAAAGATGCTGCTCAAGAAGTTGCTTTTTCAAGACTTGAAGAGTGAAAAAATCGATTTCCAACTTGTGGGAAAATAGCTTTTGCTCTTTTGTCCCTAAAAGCATCGCTTCTTGCGCTTCTCACAATTCCTTATCTTTATTAGATTTATCACTTTTTTCATTGTATACAATTCATTCAGTGACATTATACATTTCGTATTTGGTCCATTTGAAAGTACTCTAGCCCGATCTTGCCTATGTTGGCCCCGTTTGCACTGAGAGAAATAACGCAATATTTCAGAGATGCCCAAAACGAGTTTATTTTGCATAGATACTTTCTGTGTCAAAGAAAAAAGGGTTACTGGCATGAATAGAACGCATAACAGCCGCCAGACAGCGCTCTAGTTCCTTGCCGCTGATTGGTCAAAACTGCTTTCGTCACGGTTGCGTCATTCCCATCTAGGCAAGCCAAGAACGCCGCTTGAGATGCCACAGATAGTCGGATGTTGCTGAAAAGCCTACTTAGCAACACTGTGGTTATGTCCAATATAATATTCCCTTGGCATGGTTTCTGCGAAAGCTACTGTGCTGTAATATAAAAAAAAAAACAGTTCAATTTTGATTACGTGCACTTACTTTATTGTTTCAATAACTCTAAAATCTCAGTTTTATGCTACACAATCTTACCCAGTTAATCCCACGTTTCACATTGAAATGGCTTTCTGATTTGCCTTTTTTAGAAAGTTTTTACCGGGAAATGGTTAGAATCGAAAAACAATTGTTTTATTAGTGCTTCAAAGCACGAATTGGCTCACAAAAATGAAAAAAAAACACATGAAAATATTTTCTGAATTTCATAGAAACTCATGGTAATTAGAAGTAAAAACTATAGATTATATTCAAGTCGAATACGAACATACATAACATAAAGTACATTGGAACAATTCTGATCAGAAATAGAGGTTCTGTGGGAATTAAAACTATAAGAAATGCCTTGAATACGAACACCTAAGAAATTGATACAATTTTTGCAATGTTTTAATAAAATGAGTAATATTACGACACAGAACGGATTTTAAGCAAATAGTAATGCGTTAAAACTAATATTTAATACTCTAAACAGTGTAAATTGGTGAACTGATAGGCTTTCAAATGCGTAGAAGGCGTAGAAGTATGGCCTAAAATGAATATCAGTGGTTTCTAGCAACAGGTGATTGAATTCTTTCCACAGTGTTAACGAGTTTCCCCATTTTCTCTTTCAGGTTGAGAAGGAGGACGGAGGCAAGAAGGCTGGGAAAAAGGGGGCCAAGCGCAAGGGCATCCCGATCAAGATCCAGCCGAAGGCGAAAGATCGCAAAGTGGAGGACGAGAACCCGGAGAAAGAGTGGGAAGTGGACAAACTGATCGATGTGCGCTACAAGAAGAACAAGAGTCGGGAGTTCCTGGTGCGATGGAAAGGATGGGGTGCGTCGTATGATAGCTGGGAGCCCGAGAAGTTCGTCAACTGTCCGGATTTGGTGAGAAAGTTACTGGATAAGCTGGAGAATATGAAGAGTAAAACGCCCAAGACGCTTCGCACGGCACCCAAAAAGGCGGAGCGCTACTCAACAAATGTAAAGTCAAAGGGTGTTCGCACATCACGCAGACACAACAACAAGCAGAGGTAAATTTCCATCCCACAAAGAGAAAAAGTGCGTGGCAGAATTTTACGATGATATTTCTCACGACTTTTCTTTCTAAATGCTCTCGCCTGTGTTCGGATATCCAGGAAGACGTACTTCGATGCCGAATAAAAGAAGGAATTATAAGATTAATTACTAAAAGAAAATTTTTGGATGGATAAATTGAATTAAGTTCTGAATGACGTTAAAAAATGGATGAAACTACAAATTAATTTTACAATATAATTTCTTTCTGAAATGAATTATTTACTTTTAGTTTATTGTTTTAAGATTTATTACACTTCAAAAGAAGTGAAATACAATTTTCTTTCCATTGTAGAAGTGGTAAATGTATACTCCAATAAAGACGAGAAAAATTGAAAATATAAAACGTGCAATGCAGTCTTCAAAATATAACCTTAACGTCTTTTCTGATAGGTTTTGAATCATTTCATCGCCAAAATGAGTTTTCCCTTGCTCATATCTGGAAAATGTAGTAAAGATGGATTATTGTTTTGTTAGCCTTAATGCATTAAATCGAAAAGTGCGTTTAGAAAAGAAGAGTTTAATAGATGTAAAGAATACTTTAAGTCGTATTTTATAGTACTGATAAGTTATTTAAGCTTCGATTTTTCCTACGAATTTCTCTTGTTTTCCTCACACTTCAGTCTTCTGGACAGAACACGGGATTCTCGATATTTAGCCATAGAAAAATTTGAAATGAGAATATTGTGTGTTCGAATAAAACAAATTAATAATTTCTAAGAGTTTGCTTTGAAGATTTTCTTTTTGATTTATATTTTCTCTTGATTTTTTTTTCACAATTTTCACTAAGGATAGCTGCCCTTTGAAATTGTGTCTTTTGTGATCTGCAAATGATTTTTCACATGATGTATAAATTTCTAACGATCCAGGTACTAATCTTCCATCATTTTGTAGACAGTGATATTAATAGAATTATAATTTTATTCTACGAACCGCAAATCAAATTTATTTGTTGCATTTATGAGGATAAATCGATATAATAAATTTGCAATTTAAACTTGGCCGAATGAATAGAATATCACTTTGACCTCAGGTAATTGACTTTTAACCTTTGTGCAGCGTCATTCCTCGGAGGTAAGAAGTTGAAAATACTGAAATAAGATAATGTAAAATATTAGTATATGTATTTTATCATTATGTAGACCTTTTTCTGAAATATTTTTTTCTTCTAATAGTTTCATTTTATATTACAAAGATTGCGCCGCTATTCCCCTCACAAGTCTGTGGCATTTGAATGGCTGCTTTCCCATAGTTTTCAATCCTCCAGAAAATTCATGACATTCAAGTCGTCAAAATTAGTCAGATTTTATCGAAACTATGAGATTTCTCATAGCTTAAAATATGTAAAAGCATATAAGATGTTCTCATGCAACGCGATACACGAGTTTTTGCGTAAAAATATGTTCACAAATGTAATTACGCGCGAGTTTTTTTGATTTCGGAGATATTTGGCGGTATAACAGAAAGTTGCGCGCTCGTGAAATTCAGCGCCGAATGACTAGAGGGCTCCACATATCTTCTAAGCAAATTTGGTGTGATTTCTCGGTTTTCACCAAAGTCGCTTTCCGTTTAGCGAAGACACATTGAAAAAGCTCTCAAATTTTACAATAACTTTCTTTATGAGAAAATAACTAACATTAATATTAATATTTAATAACTAAGAATTTTTATGATAAGCCAGAAATCTAATGATGTGAATAATTATATTTGCACCAGTTTTGAATTAACTCGATTAATACCAGAGTAAAGCACAATGAAATGCAATAAAGCAGTAGAATGAAGAAGTTTGCTTTCGGCAATGTTATTGAATAAATTACCATAAATCAGTGATAATGGACAATAAGGTGCATCAGGTGGAAGAAGGTTAAGCACTAATTGCTCGTGCCCCATGTTAATCGTATGACGAGCACAATAAATGTATTCTTGTCCTCAAATTGGAAGAAAATACGAAACAATTTATTCTGTAATTGACCAATTTTTTTGCTTCTTCGCTGCGCGTAGGATTCATAAAATTCCCCGATATTGGAAATTTCAAAAATATTTGGCCATGTTTCGATGTTAATCCAATTACGTTCAGAGACCTCAAAAAATGACGGGCATAATTTTCTTGTAGGAAGGAAAGAAACACATTCAGTGTTTCATAAAACGCAAACTAATTACATACCTCATTAATTATATTATGTGCATCGAGTACATAAAGTGAAACAATTTGCACTATTTCGCTGTTAAAGATGCCGATAAGAGAGTTGATAGTTGAAGAAAAATGGTGAAGTGAAGCTATGATGATTGTAACGTTCAAAGTGCTTAAAGAAGTATTTCATTGCTGAACTCTAGCCTCAGGAGCCCTTCCATGGATGGTCATTTGGATCGATAGTGGGGCCGATCAGATGTCTTTTCCCTCTGCCGAGTCCTTCAATAATGAATGCGGCTAAAATGTGGCGCGGAATTGGGTTGGATGTGGTGTGAGGCGCACTTCCTAAAGGTTGTCTCTTGTGCTGAGAATTTTACGCCTCCGTTTTTCTTTAATTTTTTAGCACGCGCGAGAGACGCTAATTGAGAGGCAACGCAGAAAAATTTCCGTGAGATGTTTGGGTGATTAGAAAGCGGAATTCACGTATATTACTTCTTAGATAAACAGAAAGTCATTTAGTGAGATCGATGACCAAAAAGATGAGCTCTCAACACATCAATGCATCCCAGATATTTAATCCAATTTCCCAATATAGAGACGCTTTGGCTCTGTTCTCAGGTTATCTATTTAAACCATTTTTACAAATATATAATGTAGTTTATCCATTGAGGTGACTTCTTCTTTGGTTCCCAACATGTCCACACGGTTACTCTTCACGATCACATGCACTCTGGCTCACTGCTGGCGGAATTCTTGGTGTTTGGGGCGGGAAATGGCGGGAAATGTGTCAGCAGGACGCGCGTGGGCGTCTAGGACTGCACGAGGAGTGTGAGCGCCACGACGCCCACGAGGATGGGCAGCGAGGAGGCCGTGGGAAAGGCTCCACTCTCCATGGCGCTGGCCTTCTCATGGCTATTCTTGGACTTGGCCACGGGTTTTGCGTCGTCCGCCTGTGGAGGGATCTCGTTGGCGGGCGCCAGAGGCGGCATGGGGGCCTTCATGGTGGTCGAGGACGCCAGAGGACTGCTCGATGGCTGTGGAGCGGCTGCAGCCTCCGTGGACAGAGGCATCGCGGCCGATGACGGAGCCACGGATCCCACTTCCTGTGCCTGATCATCGGGTGGCAGCGTGACGTAAATTGTGGATCCGCTGGCTCCACTCTCACCGCCCTGATTTGCGATCGTGATGTGATCCTCTTCAGCCATACTCGTCACCATCTCATCCAACTCCTGCGCCTCATCGGAGGGCGCACCTTCGGCCTGCAGGGCACAAGATGTTGCCGCGAGCAGGACAATAAAGTAAAACACCCACAAGAAATTCTCCATGGCTCTAATCTCTCCACTCTAATCTGCACACTTTCTACAGCAGTGTCTCACTGATGTGGGAATAGATCAACAGTCCAGATTTCACTCCACACACTTCGATGGTCGCCACAGAACTGAAACGCTTTTATTTCACATGCAAGTATGAAATAACTGGCGATGAGTGGGGCGCGCTCCACTTTGCCGCGCAGTCGAGGAGGCTTCAGACTCATTTTCAGCACCACTCAGGCCAACCAGGTGGTCGCGCACGGATCCACTTCCCACGAAAAGTGAAACAGAAGCGGGTCAACCCCCAAAACCGTGTATCCTTGGTGCACACCCTCATTTGGGTCAATGTCGCGGGGATTCCCCGCATAATACAACTTAAAAATTCCACACTTCCTGTGAAGCCGCTAATCGACAGGAAGATCTTAACGCTTCCTTTCTGCATCCAATCTGCAGCAGAGATTGGATGATTATTATCGATTTGCTAAAGTGCCTTTTCTAATCTTCAATTATTCAAAATTTCGAGAGAAGCATAACGTAGTAGAGAGTAATAACCATTGCGGCAGATTGGATAATTTGTATTAAATAATTGCGTGTATAATGCGTATGGTTCGTATGAGTTCAAATATTCAACCGAAACTTATGATTAAACATTTTTACTAAAACCTCGAGATGCAAGCAATTATTAAAGGAAAACATTCATTTCATATTTCAATCGCCAAAAGACTGAAATTATTATTTTGATTGGTATTATAAAAGCTTTTTGATGTCTAATAAATTTACACGTTTTGTTATTAGGCGATTGATTAGTTTCATTATTATTGCTATTATGCAGTTGAATATAAATTTGGAAAGTTATAGGAAAAGAACCTTATTTGCTTGAAAGCAACACATCCTGCTAATTTTTTCTAGAGTGATCAAAAATAGAATTTTCAACCTCGAAACATTAAACACGAGACTTTTTAACCATATTCAATCAAATACCAGCGACTATTATTGGAAATTTTCGCTTTTAAATTCCAGGAAGACTCCATTCACCACCAATATTCAATAAGACTTCAATTAAAAGTGAATCTATTGGCATGTTTTACTTACATTGTGCGAATGATGCCCCTGAAAATGGTCTAAGCACTTTGTAGGATTGCCTTTGAGGAAAATAACTCCAAGTCACTCGCCCCAAAAGAGTGCTGGAAAGCATTAACATGAGAAAAAAACGCCTCCAATTAGTCGGTGAAGGTTGAAAATTTCCCCGCTGAAAGAATTTTGAGGCACAATATTGTGTGGTGTGGAAAGATTGATGGATTTGGAAGTTCTTTTTTTCGGTGGGCCGGGATTTTCCACCCTCGGAAAGTCTGTAACACAGACAATGATGTTCCATTTTTCAATACACGAGACATCAGCCCTTCATGACGCCACATCAGGTGATTTTCCCACCCAGAAATAAGGACGGGAGGGGAATAATTATTTTGAAAAGACGTATTAAACACTGACCTTCACTTACACACACCTGATAATATGCCTAACCTGCGATGATGTTCATAATCCTATTAATTCTCCTTTAATTGGGACCGCTGTATTCATTGATAATATAAGACAGCTCATTTTTTCATGTTCAATTCAATACGCTTCTTATATTCGTGGTTGTTTCACAGTAAGGTTCAATTTTATCCATGAAGAGATTCCAACAACTTCCCCTCAATCAGTATAAATTGCAAATTTATCGACAAAAATGTGTGTATGGTTTATTTCTTTCTTATACAGTTTTGTTGTGTGTGTATATATAAGTGGTTGTTTTGTTTTCTTCTTGTGTAAACTCCATTCCAAAGTCACAAGAAAAAGGAAGAGAATTGAGAGGTGCAAAATTTTTTTTACAAATTAATTATTCATTGTGTGTGTCTATAAATTAATTACAAACTAAATTTCTCACACTCTCGCATAAATTGTAATTTTACGGCTAAAGCTTAAGACAGACAGAGACAAGGAGATAGTAATATAAAATCACCTCGAAAGAGGAAAAAATCAAGTCAGTACAAAAATACCTGTGATAAAACCTAAATTATGTACATGTAATAAAAAAAGTGGGAATAATCCTGGGTGTAAAAGGGTCCTCGAAAAACCAACATCAGTCATTTTGTTAGATATTATACCTTCAATTGTTCAATTTCCTATAAATATTTCATTATATCTCTACTATATATTCAATTCATCAACATTGGAATTAATCTGTCTCGATTATTACGCATCTCAAACTACTCGAGCGCGATACAGTCGCAAGAACATACAGTGGTGAGCACGAAGAGCACGTCCCAATCAATTTTCCTCTCCTCCAAAATTGATTAGCACAGCGGAAACCATGAGAATTCCCAGTGAACTTGTGCTTACGTGCTGGCGAGGCGTTAAAAAAGGTATTTACTCGACTTTTCGCAAATGATTTTCACGCAAAGAGTGAGCAAAGATGTTTTGCTTTGTCGTATTTCATATTACTTTTATATGGAAAAAGTAAATAAATACATTAATATAGTTTTGTGCATTGCAACAATCATAAAACCGCGTCACGAGGTCGCGCTTTGCTCAGCACTTGATCTTGAAGCAATAAAGAAATTGCCCGCTGTTTACGCGCCCTTCTGTTCGCCGCTGGATCTTCACAAAGTCTTATTGTCACTATAGAGAGGGTGAAAAGTGTCTCTAGAGACTAATGAATGGGCATAAATACAATGCAGCCGGCTTCAGTTCTGCTGCCTGATGGGATGAAGATATTGGTGCTGAAGAGGCGGCGGCGGTGGAGCCGCCATGCAGTTCTGCTGCTGCTGCTGTTGCTGCTGCTGCTGCTTCGCCGAGCATCCGTAGCCACTTCCCGGAGGAGGCGGCGGCGGCACTTGCTGATGACCATTCCCCGAGGGCTTCCTATCGTTCTGCCCGCGCGTGCAGGAGTACGTGTTCAGGGGAATGTCTCCATTGGGCTGCTGAGACGCACCAATGCGGCCCGTTGGAGTCAGAGAGGATCCGTGGTAGGATCCGTAAGAGCTGTCATCCGATTGCGCAGATTGTCCTCGATTGCGAGCACCGGAAACCCCATAAACTGAGTCAGGTCTCCTCGATTCGCGGTCATATTTGAGCCCATCTCCTGCACTTGGAGCTGTTCGAGTGCCATAGATGGGCTGGAAAGTCTGGTTCTCATTCTGACGAACGGCAGTGCGAATTCCGTAGATACTCTCAGAACGCTGCTGCATCTGGTTTTGGACGTTCTGATTCTGTAAGTGGCTGCTCTGTGTCTGTGTCACGCGCAGTGGGTAGAGGCTCTGGGCTGGCACAAGGGGTCCTGGTCGTGGAAGCGCTCCCATGTCACGGTTGATGGCAGTGTTGCTCTTTGTGTAGACAGACTGAGACCGATTGAGATTCGCACGCGTGAGTGGCGGAGATTTGCAGTACAGAGATCTGGTTCCTCCATAAATTGGCTCCATCTTGGTCTGCGGCGCCGTCGAGTAGAGATTTTGCGGATACGGGCCACTCGTTGTCACTCCGCCAGCAGATCTGTAAGTGTTGTAGGCCGATCCGTGGAACTTTGGCAAAGGCAGAGTTGGCTTCTCTATGTCCACGTGATAGTCCATCTCATCTTCGGATTGCAAGGATGAAGAGTCATTGTCGCCGGAGTCCTTGGAGCGCTTCTGGTAGCGCTTCGGGCTGAAGATGTACTCGTAGAGCAGGCCACACACCATGCCTCCAACCATGGGCCCCATCCAGTACACCCAATGATTGTCCCACTTGTTGAGCACAAATGACGGTCCCAGAGACCGCGCGGGATTCAGGTAGGGCATCTGTAATTAGGTATTCCTGTATTCGAGAGTCTCTGACCGTGAATTATCTCAATCAATGATTATTATATAATGAAATTCTCATTTACATTAATCAATCGATATGCATCGGCTCTCGTAATTATTGGTCATTATAGGTAGTAAATCAATGATGGGGGATGTTCATAGTGGCATGTGGAAATTGCTTTCAAATTATACTAAATGAATTATTATTTCATCACAAAAATAACCCGAAAATTGACACAGCTTGGATATAGAAATAGAAGAATATCACATTTTCCAAATAAAGCTAGAGAGACTCTATCCATTTTGCTATCCATTAAAAAACCTCTTCCTCCAGAACATGAAAGCTCACATGTCATATCGTAGGAAATATAGTCAAATCTCTGTATGATGACAATCAACCGACACCACCAAAGGACAAACCATACATTTGTACATATTAATTCAAATCAATAAATGTGTCACGAGGAAATTTAGGTCCCCCGTAATCAATATTTAATATCCTGTTAAGTTTGTGTAATGACCGCAGTATATATACCTATATCTAAAATGGGCACAAATTGAAAAAGTCTCTTCCATCCAAACTGATTAAATATTTACTTCTGATGGACAAAAAAGTCTAGTTATTAGTTGGAGACAGTTGGAAGTTTTAGAACAGTTGCACTCTGATCGATTTTGATGGTGCGACTGTAACATTTACGATGTGAAATGGGTCATTGCAAAAGGAGAGAGTCTGCAGCGTTTCCTCAATTGAGTATGTGTGTCCCAAACGAACCGAAGGAGTGCTCCATGGTCGTGATTCTTCCTCAATTTCGAAGAGGATAAATCTCCGGGATACGTTTCGCCCTCTTCCACAAATCGGCCCAGGTAGGAGAATAAATTATAGAAAAATGCGAAGACGATATTTGATGTCTTTTGTTGAGCCATATACGACATCCTGAACGAATTATTTGTGATCCTTCTGTAAGGCATAAAAGAGGGATTCGTGACAAAAGGTGAGACGCCATTGTTTGCCCTCGTACAAGTTTTTCATCTCTTTCTCCCTCTCACGAAAAGGACCTCTTTGGCCATCATGCAGTTAATGCAATTCACAAGAAATTTTCTTTTAACTACTTTCAAGGTGGGTCAAATTCGATAAATTCCTCTCAACATGCGCGAAGAGCAACAGAAATTCTTTAAGAGTAATTTCAGGCGGTCTTCCTGCTTTGATATTAAATTTCTTTCTCATATTTTCTTTACCACTAATTGGTCTTCGAAAGACATTCTGAGAGCAGGTGCTCTGACTTGCTCAGCAAATCATCGATACTCACGGAAACGAAGCTGCAAGCACTATAAGCAGCGCCGATGGTCAGTGAAGACGCTCCTAGATATCTTCTGTACGACTCCGTGGAGACAAAATACGCCAGCACAACGACAAACGTGAGAATAAACTCTACTCCAAAGCGCTCCCAAGCTGCCAAGGCGGAACTGTGAGAAATCGCAGCCTGAAGATTCCCTTGATATCCCGGAACAGTCACACTGGAAAGACAATAAAGCGCTGTTTAGCATTCACCATCAAGTCAAATAGGATGTTGATTTTCACAATCGACTTTCATTTAGAATGTTATGCTGAAAAATTATTGTGTGAGTTGGACATTAAAGTTGATTGCAAGTGATGTAGTTTTGGCACGAAAAATGTTGGCAGTGCTTCAATAATATCATGTTTATCATCGATACTTCTTCCACATGAGATTGTTTTACCAGGGCAATAAGACAAAAGACGAACTTAATCAATTTAAAGTAGCATTGTGAATTTAGATTCAAATATTCGTATTAATCTAAGACACATACATTACAACCTTATTTTCTGATCAAAATGCTTAAGTAGATTAATGCAAATAATACTCTTTGAATATGGAATGAAGTGATAAATCGATAAACATCTTTGCTAATAAACCGCAATCCCATAAGTATACTTCTTAGTGTCCTCTGCAGAATAACCACATTGTGAGTTAATTCCGTGGTAATTTCTCCATCGCCCGAGGTCCCTTGAGTTGGCCAGAGTAAAGGGCAAGTGCAAATAAATCAAGCGGCAAATTTGAGTGCCCTCCTCGACCTCAATTGTGTTCCCTTTGTCTGCATGCGAGGTGCAAGTGAATTGGAAGTAAATGAATAAAAAGCATCCTAATTCAAATGAACACAGATGCGATTACTGACCTACAAAACTGAGTCCTTCTGCGCCACATCAAATAGCATCTGAGCACCCTTATTACTACCCAATTGTTTCCCATGCCATAAAAAAGTCCTTTGACACACGATTTATGAGTATTTGCATAAAATCTCACCCTCTCGCTTAGTGGTTTTAGTTGCTGCTTCATCTCCAAAACCCTTGCGCCCGATGGCGAGTGGGAAAAAAAGTTTTTTGGGTGAAAGAGTGAGGATGAAAGTGCCGTATCATTGCCCAACAATGAAACCACTTGTCCATATAAATATAGGGAGAGAAGCCACAGTGAAATGTTTCAATGCAAAACTCAGACATTTTTTTCATGCCACAAAAAAATGTATATTCTTGTATTTACCGAATGGCACAAAGACTGGAATATTTGCCTTTATGATTTATCATTTTTCTTTTCTCTCGGATTTTTGGCGCTTAAAAGATAAAAAATGGATTCGATGAGAATTATTTGTTATACCAAATTGAAAAGATTTCGAATATAAACGGAATAATGCTTAGAACTACATTTTGAGGGTAAATGAAGACAAGAAAAATACTCATCAAGATATGCCTAAAATTATATTTGGCCTATTTCGTATGAAAATCACAAGTTGTGATAGAAAATTTAATAATTTTTTTAACTGGCATGCTTTTAAAATGTTGCAAATTTTCAAAATTCAATTTTAAAAACATATCACAATTACCTACGTGCAATTTTTTTTGAGATTGATGTGAAACGCAAAAATTTGAATGCCTGGCAAATGAAATTTGTCATGTTTCGCATAACACAAAAATTTATCGGACATAAAAATATGTCATATTTTGTACACTCACATGAAAGAGCCAATAAATTGTACTGCAATTGGAGTGACAAGATTGTTGGTGATGAGAAACGCGCATTCAAATTTGAGGTGATAATTGCTAACGCGGGGACAAATGAAGTACAATCAAGTACCTGAGAAACTAATTACTTCCCCCAAAGCCTTTGGCCACTGGAAATGGAGACATTCTGTGGTGATTCATTGTAATTAGCCGGCTTAGGGCTCATTAAGCCACATCCTGACCCAGATTTCACCTCTCCTCGGCAGGGCCAAAGGCTGCACACAGTGGATGAATGAGGCAGAGGATTTTGTAATTCCCATGCAGAACATTTAGGAGCGACATAAATGTAGATTTTGTTGTGCTGTGCCTCTGGCGTTGGCATAAAACCCCATCCCTCTGCAGATGATGCGCCCGACAAAGTGTGGGAATGTTTAAAGTAATTGAACAAGTGCGGTCTTCACTACATGTTCACATGGGAATCATTGACAGACTGTGAAGAATTCACCCAATCTCGTGAAAGATAATTCATCAAATTTATCCGCATCAGTGGCCACAATAAAGAGATAATTACTTTGGCGATTCTCACCCTATCAACACAATCTATCCGTTGAGGGGTGGAAAAGACTTGAGGGTGGGATTTTAAAAAGTGCAGTTTAAAAAATTTGCAGCATGAGCGAAAATTAGGCGACATTGTGACCTCATGGCGAGTTCAACATCCTCTGCCCACTTTACACATGTTTCAACCCGCGAACCTCCCATCAAAACAATCACCCAACCTCAGCCCTAAAAACATCTTCCCCTCTGACTGACTGATACACTTCCATCCGGGCAAGTGAAAAAGTCTCTTGAAATTTAATTCAATTACACAGAAGATCAACAAAGCAATTGGCCATTAATTTAGCCCACGAAGGGGTGAAACCGCCGAGGGTCGAGAGTGAAAGTTGCTGAGAACAAGTGTTCGAAGGCCCTTTTCCCAACCACTAACCCATAAATTTTCCCCTTCATGTGAAATTGATACTGTTGTTGTTTCCCAGTTGACACCCCTCAAGAAATTTTATTGTACCACCACACAGCCTTCCAGGGACATGAATAGATTTTAATTTTCGATCATCTAGACACCGCGAAAGGGAGTGAATATTGCCTTGCTTTTTGCGTTCTTCTATCAAAGAAAAAATTCACGTCTTTTCCTTTTCTCCAAACCCCAAACCTCCCACTTCACACCACAAGTGCGAAGTTAAATCCATCCATCATCGCGAACAAAATTCATTTCCTTGGGATTTCACACGCCCCACCATCGGAAAATCACCAATATTTTCCCTTTCCCAGCGGGAGATTCCCCCAAAGTGTCGATGGAAATCCATTCGAAATTGTGTGGCCCATTTTCCGCCTTCTCACTCCCCATTCGACTCTATTTCGCCTCAACTTGATCACACAGCAGGAATTTTATGCCAAATTGAACGCTGGAGAAATTTCTGGCGTGATAAGTTGCGACCAGTTCTCAAACATAAAACTTTTGTAATTGAAAAAAAAAAAACAATAACCTATCACAGGAGCGAATTTGATTTCGTTTGCAAATCGCGTCAATTCTTAGTATTTGCTTCACCATGAAGGAAGAACACATCCCAAAGAATAAATACTTTTTCGATCGACTAAAACCACCCTCTTCACTCTTCCTTGTGATTTTCCCCTGAATGTCTAATACAAAACTCAATGTGCTGAAATCTTGAGGACTCCCATTACCATAAAGACGAATACTTGAGGGGCAAAAAATGACCAATTTGGGTGAATATCTCCTGCCACGAACACCTGGCAACCACACTTCCGGTGTATTTTAGTCCACCGAGAATGTTTTGATTATTCCATGCACACGTTCTGCCATTGTCCCCACGAAATAAACACCCTACCACATTCTCAAGATTTCACTGGATGTCACTGCCTTTGGACAAGATAGAAGAATGAGGCCAAAGAATGCCAGAGATGATGGCTGTGAGGGCAGCAAAAAAGAGCAGCAGCTGAAGGGTCAAATTTCAAGACAACTTTATTGGATGGGGTTGCAGAGACAATCGAGACAATTAATCCTCTCTGCGGCACACTTCCTGGTTCTTGAGGCGCGCGGGAAAAGTCTCAACTGAAATTTTTAATAAGATCATATTTTCCATGTGCGCCGCCGACGAGGGAAAGAGTGAGTGGCTCCGAGAGAGAAACACCATTACGCCACCCCTTTGTGCTTATCAACCTAAACAGCCCACATGTGTTAACATTTTTTCAACCCTTTTTTGTGTCTCATCCGTCTTTTTTGCTTCGCTGCACCCTCAAATTAATCCTTCCGCGTGGCATAACTTCATAAGCAGACGGGAAAGTGTGGATTTTCTGATGTATCTCCGACTGTTTTCCGAGCGGGTGCGCGAAAAAAAATACGTTTATTGGGATTAAATAAGACCAAAAACCAAAAATGAACCGAATGGAAGAGGAGTCTCTGTAAGTGTTAATGGGGAAAACACCCCTTTTTGCACCAGTTAGAATGGAAAGTCATACAAAATTCTATCAACTCCCAGCGTTTCCCATCACCGTTATGATCTATAAATTCTTCCCTCGGGAAATGCACTTTGCCTCCCAATAAAACTCTTAACACTGCTTATATATATACAGTTTCGTGGCAAAGATGCAGTCTTCGTACATTCTGTGAGAATTTTTTGTCTAAAACATTTTCCCTTTTGCCCAAATAAATCTGTCGGTGGATCAACTTCGTAATATTTTCGCCATACATATAAGAGCGCTATTCACTGACTTTTCCTCGCACGATGGAGACCTTTCACATACAAATTTCAAATTCAATTTTAATAAATTTCCCATTTCAATGGTGTTGCGGCGAAGTGAGAAATGGAAGGCAAAAGTTGAGACTTGAGAAAAATACTGAGCGAGTTCTCTAGGGTTGTTCTGAGAAGAGTCAAATGGATTTGACGAAGTCAAAAGAGTGTGGTGTAATTAATTGTGAGTCTGCTTGAGGAACACATTGTGAAAAATTGGAAGAAAAAATATGAGGCATAAAGAAGAAAGAAAAACAGGAAAACATGCAGATGCTTTCAATTTTGTCATTATCATCCGAAGTCTTTATCTGAGTGTGTTTCGAATCATATCACAGATATTGTGAATAACCGGTGGAAAAAACATTACCCTTCAAATCATAAATCTGCCTTATTTTTACTTTGGCACCCACAAACAGACTAATTACTAATATCAATATGAGTATAGAGAATTGTTTACAATTCTATAAGGAAATATATACAATGGAGTAAATATAAAATACTCATGAGAATCCCAACTTCCATCTGCTTGCGCTCCTTATCTCATCGGTCTGTCTTTCCTTGTAATCTCGCATGCTGTTGACAGAGTCAAAGAGGGTGGTTATAGAGAGTCTGTGAGGTCAAAATTACAGTACAGAAACTTTTTCCGCGCCCCATTAGCTACAGAAACTCACATTTCGATGCACGAGAACGAAATTGGGCCGGTCACGAAGGCAAGAGTGCCATAATACGATGATGAGGTGAATTGTGAAAACTCTGTTCAGTGTGTATTTTTATATGATCTCTCGACCACCTGCTCCTCCACTTCACTGGATTGTGGACACGATTTGTGCATTCTTTGCCAATTCGCAGTGCAGAATTTTAATAGCTCTTTCGCCACTTTTGCCTCTGTTTTCGTACTGATGGGATTTTGCTTAGAATGCGTATCTCATTGCGTCCCAAATCTTTATCGCGCAATTAGTCCACGCAGGTTTGCCACTCGATGATGAGGCGAAAAAACGCGGTTTTTCGTTGATGATGAAAAATAAAAAAAAAAATATTCTGCTTGGCGATCAAAAATCTTCCCGAAAAGAGAAAATTATTGCTCTCGAGTGATGAGGAAGGTTCCAAATTGAGTGTGTTGCAACATCGACAATCTTTCGGTGCGCGGTTCATTCTCTGTCGAAGAAACCACCTGCCCTTTTTTGTGTGCAACACACACTCGTCTGAATTTTAATTTTGTCAGTTTGTCGATCTCTCTTTCGTCCGCTTTGGTCTCACATCCACCCAGAAGCGCGAGAGAGAGAGAGAGGTGGTGAAGGATGAAGGAAGGAAGCCTGAAAAAAGGCACATTCCAGTCATCCTCAATCAATTAAAAATCGAAAATCTTTAATTAATCCCTGCGCGCTCGCAAGGATTCCGCGCTCGTCTCGTGCTTTGGCAATCTTGCAAATCACAATTTACCATATGCCTTGCATTTCTTAGGCTGTCCAGTTGCTTGCCAGAGAGGGCAACAGAGCCTCAGATCGAGGGTTGCATTCAGAGGCCCAAATCTAATGCCACCATGTGTTGCTGCTCGATTCTTTGTTAGAGACTCTCTTTTTTCCCTCCTCCAACATCTTTCTGACAGGCACAGCGAAAAAAAAGACCCGAATCTCTGTTACTTCTTTGATTCTTCTCTTCAGCATGGTCGGCTTTTTGTGCCATCGAGACACACTGAAAACATCTGGCCTATGATGCCTTTTATGTCTCTTTTCATTCAGGCAACTACCCTGAGATCATCTCAAGATACTCTCACTCCATCTTCCATCCTACACTCTGCCTCACTCGCTGTGCCCATTGCAATAACCCATGATATCTACTCGCCAAGCAAAGGATATAAATTGGAAGATAAGGCGAACGTGGAGCAATCATGAGTTCCAATTTTCATCCCCAAATTTCACCGGAAATTGCGATGCAGGCAGAAGGAATAAATTATGCATTAAGAGCTGAGTCCATGTTTGAATTTCGGTGAGGGTTATTATTTTAAATTGTGTAAATTACACCCGAGGCCCCTAACACGTGTCCACTAGGATACTCTCCACTCACTTCTTTCGTGCTCACCCAAAAATGAAACTTCACCTCGCTTAGCAAATGTCGAAAACCAGAGAATACTGGAATTCGCACGAGTCCTGTTTTGGACCATCATCTGGTTAGTCGTTTTACATCCGAATCTTTTTAATTTGCAAATAACTTTATAAGCCCATGACTTGATCCATAATCTCTGAAGTCGTGGAAATCATGCAAGTTCTCAAAGTTGCTCCACTTTCCCCTATTCTTTACAATTTTAACTCAGTTTCTTGTCAGGGCAGATGGAAATTGAGGTATTGTATTGAGGAAAACAATTATTTTTGGCCACCAATTTCAAAAGCAGTCGTTTGCGGATCATCAATTAAATATCGCTTATCACACACGAAATTATTGAAAAGAAGTTATGGGTATAAAGAGTAAGAGATTAAGAATGCAATTAACCGCTACGACGCCATGTGACTGAGGCGACACGAGAAGATTGTTAATTTTGGAGTCTCTATAGCGATTTTTATTTGTATATCGAACGTACAGAAAAACCACCACCTGCCTCTGGTTTTTAACTCCTTTCTTTCAATCTCTCTCGCCACTTTTTGTGGCCTCTCTGCACACTCGCTTCTGCTCAGAGAAGTGTTTCTTCGTCCTCTTTTGGGGCCCATCAGGCAACTTTGAGGGCTTTGGACCTTTTTACAACAAATTTCGTTGGTTTGAGCATGAAAATCACTCGGATTTTTGTGTGTACAAAACATCTGTCTGGCTCTTCCTCTCTTTCAAACCATTCCAGCCAGAGAGAGAGCATGATGGTTGAGAAGGAAGCAGCAAGATTACTGGCAATTTGACATGGGTACTCACCCGTATAGAAGAGCTGCCCCAGCAATTCCTCCTCCACATTGCGCCGTGATGTACATGACTGCCCTCAGAGGCGACACCATTCGCACCACGGAAAGGGCCAAAGTCACTGCTGGATTGATATGAGCGCCTGCAAGGACAAAAGAGTTGAATCAACTGCATTTTCCCTCACACCAAATTGTGCGCTAATTAAATAATTAGAGAGACAACATTATGGCGAGTGATCGGTGTTTGTCACACGATCTCACCCAGCAAAAAACCGGGAGCTGTGGCGGAAAAGATCACAAAGATCACCCTAAGGGGGAGCATTCCAAGGAGTAGAATGACTCTCATCAGGGACTCACGCTAGCCCCAGTGCAAATGATAAGGAGGAATTTTAATTGCCGGCGGCATCCTGAAAGTTTCACCATCAATATTATCAAGAAATTCACGTGCAGAGCAAAAATTGCCACTCTCAGACTTTCCATCATCTCTTGCGCGATATCAACACTGTGGCCAGCAAACTTTTCGGCCTCGACGCGTCAGCCCCAGCCAGATGATTGTGGAAGAGGGAAGCGCAAGAAAGTGTAATTTTACATCAACATCTCAACCAGGTAATTTACAATCTCATGCGCCATGGAAATATGCAATAAAGTGACATAAAATTTGCATAAAATTACGACAAAGTGCCCTTCTTTGCTCCCCCAAGAAGGTTGTCGCGCCGAATTTACCGGGCCAAAAAACTTTGGACACATCTGGATTGGAGGTTCTGACTAATAAAATGCCTCTGGAAATTCTTCACCTCCTTGTGCATACCACATTTCGCTAATCACCTCATGAAAACGCTTCACGAGACTTGAGGAAAGATATTAAAATGAAAGTGAAGGACGAGACATCGTGTTCCTCAGGATTCACGTCAAGCTTGTGGAATTCTCTGCAGATGAGCATTCTCAAGTTTAGTCGTAAAGTTTAAATAGAATAGTTACACTTGGCTTAGCCCTTTTAAGTCCATGTCAATCACTGACTCAGAGATAAGCATTATAATTCACAGCCAGAACATACAAATGAAGCATGAATATTCATCATTAATTTCGCAGCATAATTAAATGCTATATGGTTTTGAATAATTTCCATCTGCAGTCTGCATTTGCTTTCAATTATCGCTCTTCCATGGGAATTCCCTAACACACCAAGGAAGAGATTCGCCCGTTCTAAAGCTTTCCCAACTTTCATCATCAATATAGCTCATTTTAATGCAGTCACAAGGCATTGTAAAATGAACTTAAGAACTCATCCCTAATGATATTCCGCACAAAGTAATTTCTCGGTGTGCAAGGCGCCAAAATAACCATATGCAAATATTACACACAATTTCAAGTTGTGGGGAAAAATTCTTACTGTTTGCTCATCTCGTTGAGAATGATTTAGTGGAATTTTATGAATGTTGCAATGAGATCTGTAAATCGCACAATTTTGGTTAATTTACGAGCGACAGGAATAAACGGTCGTCTCTTCCTCTTGCAATGCAGTCAATATAGTTGGGCGGTGCACACCCTTTAAGAGAGGGTGCTTTTGACCAACTCCTCCCCTTGGAAAATGGGGGAAAATGCAGTGCTCGGGAGATGTGAAGAAAAGCGGAAGAAGTTGTTGGAAATAAACTGGGAAAAAACCACGCGCAAAGGAACTTTCGCATTTCACGACAGAAAATTCTTCTGTCCACTTGCCAAAAAAGTCTCCCCTTTTCGCGCGCTCGTCTTTGGGAGTGGTGAATGAACTCTCTTGCCAGCAGATATGGAATTAATTCCCATCGTCATGGGCGAATTAAATAGAAAATCAATTGCACATTTTGTCCCACTTTTTGTGTCCATCAAATGCCATTTCCCAGAATACAATCATCCCCAGAGAAGCTGAATTGTGGCGCCTCTCTGAAGAACAATTGAAATCTGTAATTGCATTTGCTCAACTGCACGGGATGCTGCCACCCATCCGGGGAAGCAATTCGTCATCACAACGGCTAGTGTGGGGGTGGCTCACCTGAAATGTGCGAGAAACACTGAGTGAGAGTTGCAACGGCAAAGCCAGAGGCCAGAGCAGTTGCCAAGAGGACGCTAGAGACGCTCGCCCCGACGCCGGCACCCGCTGCGGCTCCGCAAACGATGAACACGTAGAAAAATGAGGCAATACACTCGGAGATAATGGACCTGTTGCGAGAGAAAAAGCACACACAGTTTAGAGTTTAGCGACAAACTGGAGGAGACGTGATAACAAGGGCAAAAGACATGCTTGACTGCGGATATGTTCAGCTTTTCCAGCACAATTGAAGATGTATTTTTCCCCGACTCAAACATCATCGGCGAATTTCTCATTCGCTCTTTATGTAAGGCAAGAGAAATGGATTTCGCAAGTCAAATGAAATGTGATATAATTAATCGTATATTGAAGATGGGACTAAAACATTGACTTGTGGAAAGTGCAATGATCGAGTTTATGGTCGGTCAATCACGATTTGATATCAATTAATCATTTGAAATCACTTCTGACAAATGTAATTTCTTCTATCAGGAAAAAATTGGAATGCGTGGGAAAAGTTTTTTGACAAATCACTGAATAATTAGGGAGAGTTTTTCGAAATTTGTTATTTTGCAAATTCAAATATTCTCTAAGTGCATATAATTTTCTCATTTTCAATGGAGAAACATTCTGCACATTGGAAGTTAGCAGTCTTGAATTTAATCACTCTTCAGTGTGGTGAGCATTTGAGAATTCAGTGCCAAAATATTTTCCATTCATAATCTCTGCCCGGAAAGTTCTTGTTTTCGTCTTTGTGCATTTCACTTGTGGAAAGACGCATTTAATCCTCTTTCCCATCAGTAGAATTGCTACATATTTCTGTTCAGCTCTTAACTGCAAACGGACCGCATTCTCGTGGGAATTTTTGGGGAGTGCACAAGACTTACCTCCAGAACTCAAGCGTGCGGATCTCAGCCTGCATGCTGGGCCGTGAGACTCTGCCTCCAACGACGATCACGGCGCCCTGGTTCTGCTCCTTCCGCAGTATCTCGAGGCGCTCAAAGAGGGACACGATGTGGTAATCGAGATTGTGCTCCGGCGGGAGCTGTAGACTCTCCTCGGCCATCCCTGACGAATGCGCGCTCCGCTGATGAAGAAGTGCACTTGCAATTCGGCAATATTGGCACAAACAGTTTGGGCGCACAGGTTTTTGCACGCCGAAAGTATCCAATTACGCGATGAGAGCACCAACTTGCCCTGAATCTCTCACCCAGAAATGAGACACTGGAGGATTCACATAAGAGTCATGACTGTGGAAATTTTGTGGTTCCCTCGTCAAGCAGACACACTCTGAATTGGGTGTTTATATGTGCAAAAAAGCCACTATGAAGACCTCTAATTATTGCTCTGACCAGAATTTATGATGAGTCCATTGAAATTTGAGTAGCACAACAAGCAGACAATTGGGACTCCTTTTCCTCCGGTCAGTGAAAGGCCAATTGTGTGTTGGGAAGAAATCAACTATTCACATCAGGCAAATGATGCCAATTATTCAATTGATACTTTTATGAATAAATGAATGTATCACCGCATGAGACACACTCTTCAAAAAAATTTCACTCAACGCAATCTTCTTGCCACTCGAAAGCAAAATGCAAAAATCACAAATAGGCGCCAGACGGACGATCCGCGTTTGCCAAAAGGAGGGAATGCACGTCCGTGCTGTGCAGAATGTCACAGGGAAGTGACTGCGAGTGGAACTGGATGAGGCATCTTCCACTTCTTCTGCTCTCTGCACTCGCTCTCTCTCTTTTCCCGTCATCCGAAGGGTGAGAGTGTGTGAGAGTCTCTCTGACACGCTCCCTTATCACACAGAGAACTCGCGATGCAGCGGATCCGGCAGATGTACTTCACGATGTGTAGCATTAATCAAACAATTAAGTGCATTGAGAGAAAGAGAGAGAGAGAAAGAGAGAGATTGTGTGTAGAATATAGTGTCACAGACATTTCTCACACAACTACAAACTCTTTCAATTGATCTCTGAGATTGTCCTATCAAGGCGTTATATTTACACACAAACATAACACATCAATTAGAATAGAGTGAGAAGAGTCATCGGATCGGAGGACATGACTTGGCTTTCAGGATTTCTTATAAATTGTTGAGAGACAAACTTTCCACAAGTTTAGATTTGATTTCGAAGTCTGGTGTGAAATCGAATTATCAGCACGAGTATCAATTCTAAATATTTGCCTATATTTTGCTTTCACACGCCTTCTCGACCCAAAGAGACGAAATGGAAACAGGCGGAAAAGATTGGTTTCCACAGAGAAAAACCAAAAAAGTCATACAAACTGATATGAAGGTGTTTTGATTTTTATGTTGAAAATGTAAATACATCCCAAATTATCTTCAATGAAGAGAAATAGATCACGTGAACATCACCCTTAAATGCATCTCTTCCTTGCAGTTATTGGAAAAATTATCAAAACACTAAACACACATTTAGAAGAAGATTATAGACATTTGCGATAAAACGACAAAAGAAGAGGTTTCCAGAGAAACTCCCTGGGATTCTTAAATAAAACAATGTAGAGAATTCACAGACTAAATGAGGTCAGCTGAACGACATCTAATTAAGTTTTAATTGACGTAATTAAATTGTTTAGCGAAATAGTGTAAGTTTCGCTAGAAATCGCTTTACGACCTTGCTGAAGGGTCCGCCAGTAATTGAAAGGCTAAAGAAGGGGAACATTTTGTGGAAGAGTGGCAGAACTCTTCTCTACAGCACTGTTGACTATCTTTTAGGCGGGAATATTAACACTCTTACCGATTATCGCGCCATCTGGATGGACAACACACAAACATACTTTTGAAAGGCCAACGAGCAATTGAGCGCGGGAAAGGCCAAGAACCTCTCACGTGTGGATCAATTTCTCCCTCTCCTCAGCGTTCTTATGTTGTGTTGCCCTGCCGCCGCTCTTCGGGGTGTGTACTCACCAGAGTTGCACTCCGTCACGAGCATGATTCACATGGGATCAATTAATTGAACTCCGGGTGAATTTCGAGGCAGAGCTTAGAGGTCAAAGAAGCGCTTCCGAAATGATGCACTAATTGACTTTAATTAGTCGCATCTCTCGAGATGATGCCTCAGTTCTGGTGTAAATCCACCAGGCATCAGCCGATGATCTCAAGAGGGGCTCTCTACGCTCCTAAAGACAATGGGTGGGGACGAGGTGCACGTCATGAAGAGCGGGACGGCTGCTTCAGGCGGCAAAAGTGAACGTTTACACACCGCGCGCGAGTCTCGCCAGTTGGTCACACAAGCAGTCAACCTGTGGACGTGTTGCGGACGCCAACAATGTTCGAGTGGTCGCCAGAGTCGGTTGGGCGTTGGCGGATTTTGTGAACGTGGCCATCCAGGTCGGACATTCGCTGGTGTGTTTTCAACTCCAACATTAACCGCCTTGTGTCACACAGTTACCCTAGTGATGACTCGGATCCCTTATCTTATCTCTTCACCTGCTTCTTGCCTTTCCTTCCATGCTTTTTGTGCGCTCTGTTTGCCACACAAAAAAGTCATTCTGTGTATGGACAGGTGAAAAGTGCTTCATTCAGTGTTACAGTGTCTCTCTTGCCCTCAAACAATCCAATTTCTCGCAAAATTCCTCAGTATCTCTCTCAAAAGAAAAGTGCTTTTAGACTTTCACATCTCACTCTAGCAATCATCATCGCAATTTCTGTTCAATTCAGTGATAAAATGCAGCGAAACATCGTCAAAAAAGTGCATGATTTCGGCCTTTTGCGCCTCCATCTTGGATAGCCCGTGAATCACTCATACCTGAGAGTTTTTCTTCGCTCTCTTTCGCTCTACCTGGCCAGAAGTGGTGACGTCAGGAACCTGTTCGGCTCAGAGTCACAGTTTTCCCTCAATTCACATTTTATCCGTGCCTTCTTGCCTCTGTTGCACAATCATTCATTCTAAGCGTTCCTTTGTGCACACTTCTTTTCATCTTTACGTGTTATTGCCTGCAATTCGATCCGTCGCCACAACAAACACTGGCATTTAACGTTAAAATCACTGACTAACACTCCACTCGCCCCACAATAAATTCCCTCATCTTCTCTCGATCAAGTTCCGCAAAGAAAAGTGAAACTCACGCATGGATTTTCCTCTCAATTGCAGCAAATCCAGAGCCAGAAGGCATAGAGTGTAATTATACTATTGAAATAAAAACGCCCTGCGCTGGCGGACGCATTTTGAAGCCATACACAAAGTGCTAGCAAAACAAGATACCAAATTGTTTTGACGCCATTTTTGGTGGCGCGCATGAAAAAACGCCCAAAACATTCGCGAAGAGACTATGGAAACTGGTTTGTCGCGAGTGAACAAGTTCGCGAAGCAGTGAAGCTCCCAAAAAAGTGGCCACAAGGAGTCGCCAAGAAGATGGCGATGCCACGAGATCTCAGACAAAGTGTCCAAAATTATTTGCCAAAGCCCAAAGTGCTTAGCAGCGAACGATGGCGCGGGTGGTTAGTGATATTGGGGGTGATTTGTGTGCTGCCCACAGGAATTAGGGCGCAGTGGGATCAATACACAACCAGAGATCCGAGATTCTATTCTCGCGATGGTGTGTACAACTATAATCCACCGAATCCCGGGGATCCAGAGTACAGGTAAGCTCTCAAGAACAGCACAGAGGAAGTCATCAAGCATGACGGAATGCATAAATTAACGATTTATTAAGACTGGAATGAGGGCAAACATACCAAGATCAGAAGCCTCTGTAACAAAATCTTTGTAACGGTTCAATATTTCGGGGACAAAAACCGAATAAAGATCACTTTTTGAGTGCTCTCGTAAGTTTAATTAATATTGCGCTGAGATCTTTCTTCGCCTCATGAAGATTTCGTGAAAGCGATAGAGACAGAAAATGAACGTTGCGCAGAAGCTTCCACAGAAATTTCAGTGAAGTCTTAAAAACATTATTCCGATGATGCATCACTTTATTTTTCGTATGTTTTATGCATTTTGCTGACACACGATTTTCAATATTATACTTGCTCGTAAAATTCCTGAAATGTGAAAGATTTCTCTTTCTCAATGACCAGCGGAGTGATTAAGAAATGATGTTTCACTTCCTCAATTTAAGGACCTACACTTACAACGACAGACGATATGGTTATTACCAGCCCGCCGGTTATGGGCACCTGTATCCCGGTCAGAAGAAGCCTGGACAGTATCCAAATCCGCATGACACACCACTTGGTGATGATCGCTTTAAGTTCGACCCGGTGAGTAAGATTTACCTGCGACAAGGGGGAGATATTGTGAGCTGAAATCAAGACAACGATTTAAAAAATTTCCGGTTGTGCAACAGGAACATAACATTTTCTCCCTGCTTTTAAGAAGTTCATTTATTTTGTTCTTCAGGATATATAGAAGCGATGTTAAAATTTTAGCCACATTATCTTCCCCTTGCTGCCTGCAAAACTCATTGCACACAGCACTTGAAACAATGCCTTGCATTCAAAAGATGCGCTCTAGTTTGAAATCAGAGTCATCATTCAATGATTGGATGCTTTTCCCACGGAAGATGGGTCAGTGCGATTGCACATTTCTCATGCTGCGCAACTCAATCTTTGTCTTGCAGAGCGATCCCAACACATTCCAGACACCTTTCCCAGGCGTCCTAGGCGGATGGCGAGAGGATCTGCAGGGAAAACTAAGGAGAGACTCTCTCACACTCGATCGTGATGTTTTTGTCACCACCAACTATGGCCAAGTGCAGGGATTTAAGGTCTACCTATATGACAATCCTGATCCTCTGTCCTTCTACCGGCCGTGGCACAGCACGGTGGATAGGATAATGGGTCAGTGCTCGGTATTCCTGGGCATTCCCTATGCCTTGCCGCCCACACACGAGGGGCGCTTCAAGCCGCCGCGGCCTCATCGCGGTTGGCAACTGATGCAGGCCGTGGATTACGGTCCAGCCTGTCCGCAGCCCGTGAGATACACAGGAGCCACGAAGGGCATTCGGGACATGGACGAGGATTGCCTCTATCTCAATGTCTTCTCGCCGAAGACCGGTTCTGGAGTGCCCCAGAAATACCCCGTCATGGTCTACATCCATGGCGGAGAGTTCGTTCGAGGAGCCTCCAATCTCTTCCCGGCGCACGTTCTGGCGTCCTTCTACGACGTTGTCGTTGTATCCATCAACTACCGCTTAGGGGCTCTGGGATTCCTCTCGACATTCGACGAGAACTCCCCCGGAAACTACGGGATTCTGGATCAAGGCATGGCCATTCGTTGGGTGTATGACAACATCGAGGCCTTCAATGGCGATCGACACTCCATTACGCTGTTCGGTCCGGGCGCAGGAGCCGCGTCCGCCGGACTCCTGATGGTCGCACCGCAGACACGCAACATCGTGACGAGAGTGATTGCTCAGTCTGGTTCAGCAACAGCCGACTGGGCGCTTATTGTGGACAAATATCGAGCACAGAACACTAGTATAGTCTATGGGAAGCTCCTGGGTTGCTACATCGAGTCGTCCTACCGCCTAGTCGAGTGCCTGCGACTGGGCCGCAGCTTCTATGAGATTGCAAATGCGGAATTCGCTCCAGACGTGGGCTTTTTCCCCTGGGGACCAGTTCTGGACATGAATTTCACCTATCCAGGTGACAATTGGTACGAGGGCTGGCGAGAGAAGGACTGGCAGTTCCTCAAGGAAACCCCCGAGGAGTTGATAAAGAAGGGACAATTCAATAAGGGATTACACTATATGACAGGCGTAACAATGCAAGAAGCGGCATACGCAATATGTAAGTTCAAAATAGCACTATCTAGTTCATAGATAAAGGCCTTATCACTCACTGGAGCTATGCTAGATAAGAATGTGTTTGCCGAAAATTAATAGATATCTTATCTAACTATATTCTTGGTATATTGCATGATTCAAAACCATCGTTATTCTTTTCTCGTTCTTGTAATCAATTTTAAAGCCAAAATCACTAAATTGACTAACATATCAAATAAGGACTTCTTTAAAAGTAAAGACATTAGAAATCTTTATCAAAAAATTGTAATGAATTATATAAATCCAAATTCTAAAACATAATTTATGTCATCAATTTTGAACTAAAAAATCTCTCTTTTTCCAGTTCAAAATGAAACTTTAGCACCTTATTTCGACATCAATGAGGAGTTCGTGGACCAGAAAATACGGGAATTGGTTCTGAGATACAATTACACCTTGAATTTAAATGGAACCTACGAGGCGATCAAGTATATGTACACTCATTGGCCAGATCCCTCCAATAAAACCTACATTAGGGAGGAGTACATAAATGTAGGTCATCGTAGTAACTTACATATATATCACAGAAGCATTTTACAAGACTATTTTCATTGCAGTTACTTTCGGATTTCATCTATCGTGCTCCAAGTGATCAAATGACAAAGCTTTTAGTGGAGCAAAACGTCCCTGTCTACATGTACGTTCTCAACACCACTGTAGAAGGATTGCGCCTTCCGGAGTGGCGCGCAGTGCCCCACAATGCGGAGCATTATTTCCTCACCGGCGCTCCGTTTATGGACGTGGAATTCTTCCCCAAGCGAGATCGTCTGGACAGGAATATGTGGACGGACAATGATCGCAATATGAGCCACTTTTTCATGAAGACATTCTCAGATTTCGCCCGCTACGGCAATCCGACGCCTCAGCAAGTTCTAGGCTTGCACTTCGACAAGGCCATCAACGGTGAATTGCGATACTTGAACATCAACACCACATTCAATTCCACGATCAGGATGAACTTTAGGCAGAAACAGTGCGCTTTCTGGACGCACTACTTGCCAACTATCGTTGGCGTTCTGGTGCCCACCTATCCGCCCTCAACAGAGTTCTGGTGGGAGCCGCAGCATCCGCTGCAGATCGCCTTTTGGAGCATCTCGGCGGTTTGTCTGTTCCTCGTGATTCTCCTAGTGATCTGCTGCATTCTGTGGAGGAATGCAAAGAGGTGAGTTAGATTTCAGTTAGTTTATAGGTGATTTTGAGGGTGTCGGAAACAGAATTAAAAAAAAGCTATATTTGGCAGAATATCGTTTATTTTAGCCTCGGTAATCGATTCACTCCTAAATGTACTTTCGTCTTTAAATATCATTGTAATACAGTTCAATTTTCAAACCTTGTCTGCTTCATAGGCAATCTGATCGCTTCTACGATGGCGATATCTTCATGGTGGACAACACGGGAGCCGATGGCGATGCCGCTGGAATAGAGAACATCTCCCAAACACATCCGCTGCGATCGCGTGAGAATATCTACGAGTATCGTGACTCTCCTGGCAAGAAATCTGGCCCACCCACTGACATTTCATCCTTGCGCTCGCCCAGTTCTCTGGGCACCACGCACGTCACCACAAAGTCAGGCAGTCAGAGCTCGCTGAAGAGTGCCATCTCGCTAAAGGAGGGCGTGCAGAATGGCAAGGAGCCAAGCTATGATCGCAACTTGAACAACAAGGGCAAGGGAAGCGACGGCAAAAACTTGCTGGCGGACTTTGAGAAGTCCCGCGAAGCCATGACCAGCAGTCCGGTGGAGAGCACCAAGACATCTTCCCACGGCACTCCAGTTCCCGCCAGCCGGAAGACTGTGAAGACCAGCAAGACACAGCTGGTGGAGGGAGTGCCACAGACTGAGGTCTAGCCCTTTGTTCTCTTGTCTTCTGCTACTCTCCTGCCCAAACATGAAAGATTGTGCATTATTTATTCTTAAGGTATTATTTGTATTCTCTCATCTTTCCGTATAATGTCTTCAGACCACAACATTTAGTGCACAAAGTGCTGCATTTTTATATAGCGTAGATTTTGTATTAATTTTTTTAGTACAAAAAAAAGTATTTTTCATAGAGAATAAATTATAGGAATTTAAGGCTAATAGCTATGAGTAAATATATATATAAATCTAGTATTGAGGGAAAAGTATTTTTTGTAAATTTTTTCATTCCCGACTCTCTTGACATCAGAAATCCGTCCAATTTCTTCCTCTCACTCAATCAAGTATCATCAAATTTAATATATGACTCATATTTATGGAGTAACATTATTGTCCAAGAGATGATCTCGATTGAGGAGAGACAAGAAGCATAGTTGATTAAGCGTATTTTATAAGATCTTCACACATCGTCACCTTATTTTGTAAGTTTCGCTCTTGTATGACTGTTAATGAGCCTATAAATGTATTTTATTTTTACATTGCAAAATCATAGAGAAAATGTAATGACCAATTTTGTTTTGCTGTGTGCAGAGAATAGTTTCTTCTGTTCGTTTTGTTCTGTATGTATTTGTGATCGTCCATGTGCTACTTTGCTTCTTCATTATCTCGCGCGCGCATTAAATGTTTGTAAAAATGTACTCGCTGTGTCGCAATAAACTTATTTACACGACCATTCACTGTACATTGAATTACGGATACATTTTTGCATGCTTTTCCCCGTCAACACTACAATTTCACACTACATCCATATTTACAACACTTTCATTGATAAATCGTGCGTTAAATGCATCTTTTTTTATAGATTCCTTTACTCTTCAAAGAAATTGTGAATTGCAGGTAAGTTTCAATTATATTCTTTTAATATCTGCCTATCAAACGAGAATCTCTCAAGGAATCTCTACACTTTTTATAAATGCAAGTTTAACTAAAAAAAAATAACAAATTATTGCATCTTTTGTGAAAAAGAAATCTTCAAGAAAAGGATCATTTATTTAAGATTATAACTCTTGACGCGCAAAAACAAAATTTTCTTTTAAAATATGTGCTCTTCAGATATTCTTGAAAGCATACTTAAGTAGACATATTTGACAACTCCTAAAATGAATGAATATTTTATTGTGATTAGCGATTTCTATTATTATCAATTTAACTATCACATTGTATTTACCAAAAAAGGTAATAATATTTTTCATCGCGTTTTATATCCAGTAATTTGGGAATATTTATAATCATGTTCTGAATTTGTTGTTAAATGATATGTTAATTCTTTCTTATTTGAGCAATATAATCATAAACTTTTATTACATCTCTTTTTCTCACTTCTTTTAATTATAAATCTTCCTAAATCTACAAATAAAATGATCCTAAAAATAGAGGATTTAGTAATGAAAATCACACTAAACCAACTTTCCTCTATTTACTATTAGCTCAGTTTTATGCTAAAATATATAAAGTATTATATTATATTTACTTTCAATCATTTCTTTAGAATAATATTGCTAACTAAAAAGTACTTATAAACTACAAGCGTTTCCAAAGGACATTCTTTCCAGATTGTTAATATTTCTTCTTCCCTTTTCTTATATTCATATTAATACATTATTTAAATATTTTTCTCTATAACATTAAAAATGCCACTTTTTAAAAATGTATATTAAAGAACTTTCTCACATTTCTTCATGCCTTTTCAAAAATTCAAAAAAAAAATATCATCACTCTCACATTTAATATAATAACGTGACACAAAAACTATAATTATATAAAATTCAATAAGGAAAGTCTTAGGAAAAAAGAACAAGGAATAAAGGCGACCCATACAAAATACCGTGAGAGGATTAGATAGAAAATGGCACTGGACAATATTCTCGCCGTTAAATTCTCTTCTGATTACCAATTATATTGATTTAATTGTGAATTCTTTTATGTCAAACTCACATGAAGATTCTGAGTATAATCATTACTTTCACCAGACAATGCGCGTTAAGTCTTGCGCGTGTCTTTGCTCTCCGAATCCAGTTGTACATCCAGGCTCTTCCTGTTGGACGCCGGCGGCGTTAGGAGGCCAACAGGACAGGAGTCTGACAGCACGGCCGGCGAGGCCTCTTGATTGACCGCCACATGTCGCTCCATCATCAGTTGTTGCTGCTCAAGCATTCGCGCCTCCTCCTCGCGTCGCTGAATGACTTTATCCTGAAAAGGAAAAAGCCGACAAATTGTAGCAACTCATAGAGAAAACCGTGTCGCGGGAAAGTGTGAAGAAACGCGCGCGCACACAAAAAGCGCGAAACACTCCAATTTCGACGCGAGAAAAAGGTCATCGAACCTCACAATAAACTGGTCAGGTATGGAATTTGGATTTCTCTCTGCTATTTCAGGCGCGCGGGCTTCATTCATAGCCAAAATATCACACATTTAGTATGGAATTCCATGATCAATCAAGCATTCAAATACTTGTGCGCATCTCTTAAATTAAGAGATAGATGAAAGACTTTCTATGAATTCTATTTTCTATGCGCCACAGTGTGCCAAAAAAAACAGCATTTTTCTTATCGATGGAGGCGAATCTATCAAAACAATGTTGTTGAACTCAAGAGTGAAATATTACTTACAAACATCTCCAGCGATATTGTGTGCGTCTGAATCTTGTAAGATTCATCTGTGTTGGCATTTGGGCAGAAATGTCCAACGCCATATGACACTGGCAACGTTTCGCTCTGCTCCAGATGGAAAATTGTACTCGGATCGTCACTGATCACTTTGAAGAAAGGCTCCATCCATTTAGCACATGCTTCAATATCTTCCCATTCCAAGCCAGACACTCGCGTGGCGACTTTCCTGGTGTTGATTGTTTGAGAGAGGAAAAGAAAAAAAGAACATTTGGTAGAGTTGATTTTCTAAGATCATTTTGTGATAGTATTGAAAATAAAAAAAACGCCCCATTTTACAGGCACTTTTCAAGTTACGAAAACCACATATTCTTTATACTGAAGAGCGATAAAGGGGAGATTATCATGAGATCACGATTAACCATGAACCATATATAGAGATAATCACGTAAAGTGTGCGAAAAAAATCATTCTCATCTAATCAATGTAGCTTTTTCTTTTTCAAGATGTTATGATAATATTTGTGTCTACAGAAAAATTATTCATTTACCATTGTTTTTCACCCAAAACTCCCACCATCATTCCGTCTTTTGAAAGCATTGCCAGAGATTTTCAAAATTAATTCCATTACATCATTGCCATTAGCAGAAGAGAGCACACTTACTTGCTATAAACATGACTAATGGCCGCCGAGGCGACGACTGAGTAGGGAAAGTTGAGGATGCCCATGTCCAGCGAGCAGAGATCCAGCAGTTGGCAAGTGTGCGTGTACTCCATGCCAGAAAACTGCGGATATACGAAGGCATCGTCCGTCGTCTCTGCAATTACCAGCTCCTTCACGGGAGTGCACTTGTCCGGAGTGAGGAGCGAGGCCACCGCTTCCGGATTTACCTGCAGCATTGACGATGGTGCCGTGCATGGACGAACGGCAGGTGTCTTCTTCCACAGCTTTGATGGATCTGTCACATGAATCTGCATGTAGATGGTTAGCCATCCCATCACAGTCACTGTACTCATATTCCAATCCAGAGACTGCAGAAGAAGAAGCTCCTGCTGAAGAATGTCACTCTCACTGCACGCACCATCAGTCACGTAGGCAAATTCTCCAATCTTGGGCGGGTAGATTTCCTCAACCTGTAAAAGCACGCGCCATGTTAATATTTGCCTCCTCACAAGATTAAAAATAAAAAGGAGAATGTTCATCGCAAATTCACCTTTGCGGCCACAAACAGACACGTCACACCGACTAGCTGTAACCTCGTCTTGGACACAGCTGTGTTTCGCGAGAGATAGCGATCGATGTAGTCCATGGCCAAGGAATATGTCTCCCTCTTGAGCTTGTGGACATCGCACACCTCGATCAGCCAGTCAAGCAGAATTGCCCGCATCCGTGGCATCAGTCCCGGATGCTTGTTCAACATGTTGGGTTCCCTCTCCAGCCAGTCGTGCTTATCCTTGTTGATCATGTTTCGCCACAGCGCCGTGCCACTCGCCCATGAGAACTCCGGCAGCGGACACTTTCGCTCCACACTTGGCGCCGTGTAGTAGCTTCCGCTCTGCGCCGGACTCTCCTCCACCCTCTGCGTCTTCAGCTTCTTGCGCGCGTGCGGCGTCTGCTCGCCCGCCCACACGTCCGCAGACACTTCCCCGGCATTCTCCACATCCTCACTGCCCGACGGACTGAGCGTGTTGGCCACCGAGGCCGGACTAGAGAGACTGCACTCCACACTAGTGCTGTACACATCAGACATCGCAGGCGAGGAGCTGGACGTCGTGTCCGAGCAATTGCAACTGCCAACTGACTCGAAGGGCGACAGTGGGTCTCGGTCCCTCCGTTGCTTCGCCGGCCGGCAGTATTCGGCATTCTGAAAATCGTATTTTGCAATAAAAAAGAAGCTAAAATTGCCTACTAAACTAATAACGACGATATAAATTAAATTAAATGCACATGTTCCCTAAGCACTACTCTGCACAGGACGAAATAATTTATTGTTAAATGCACTTGTAAAAACCCTTGTAAATTCCTCTTAAAATAATTGATATTTCTTATAATTTCATGTCATTATCCTGAATAATTAGGCTTCAAGCAGAAACAGGCCAATCCCAATGCAAAAAGACTCTAAATCGAACCCGACATCTTCTTTAAAAAATAAACTTTGAAGTCACAAAACATTCTCGAAATAGACAGAGAAAATGTAACATCTCCCTCCCTTTCCTAACTATTATATATTATGGATATACAGCAGAACCCGTAGAGCCCCTATTTCAAGATTTCCCTTCGTAAACAAGAAACTGCATAAGAAACATGGAAAGAAACCTCGCAAACTATTGTTGAGCTTGAGACAATACATAGAGAACAAACCGATAACCTTCGAGGGACAGGTAAAAACAACCCTTGCAGCCTTTTAAATGGCCACCATATTGAGGATTTAAAGAGCACCTCAAAACCGTAAAGCAGCTGTAAAACATGATTTTTACACAAGGTTCTCTTTTTTCCTTCAATCTTAGCATTCGAATGGATGCTTATATCAAGCATGGCTTCACTTGACTTTTGGCGCGCAATTTAGCCGAACACATTTTTCCACACACTTCGTGTATTTTCGCCACTTTGTATACGCTTTTCCACGATTTTATTGGTCGCTATGGTGAATATCGGCCAATAAGGTTTTTTGATTTCAGCCCTAAACCTCCTGGCTATCTAATTGCCGGTATATGTATGTATGTATATCTTCTACGATATTCAATTTTTCAGTAGCAGAAGAAAAAGGGGAGAAGAAGAGGGTAATGGTATGCGATCGGTACTTACTTTGCCGTCTGTTGTACTTCTTCGTTTTCTCTTTACAGCCACCACCTTTCGAGCCACATCCTCGGGACTGCTAAAATGCCGAATAGGCGAGAAAAGGGGGAGAAAGAAAGAAATGTCACAGTTAAAACTCAAATACCACAAAACTTTTTGCCTTCATGGAGAATTATTGATGTGTAAAACGAAAAAGAGGGTCTTTTCGGGGTTGCAGAAGCCTTACAAGCACACACACTACACGAAAATGCGTGAGCCTCTTCTCAGAGACGCTCTCTCTCTTTCTCGCACTCTCTCTCTTTTCACCTCTCCCCTCTCATCGAGAAAGAGAGATGGGAATGAATGAGAAATTGTACACTTTCATGCAAATACAATAAAAAAAGTATAACCACAAAGTGTGATAAGATATTTAACATTCTTAACTGTTAAGCGGAATAGTTGAATTTCCCCCTAATTTCGATCGCATGTCGATCGTATGTGCAGTTGGGCGGCCAGAACTCACCTATGACTCTCCATATCTTGGCAGCTGCCGCGTGGGGTGCTCTAGAGCTCCGCACACTCACGCCCTGACTTCTATGCAGCGACTCCGCGATGATTTAGGGCCACGGAACACTCTTAAGACACAGAAAAGCGGCAAAAGATCACGCGCAACTGCAAGGGCACAAAGCACAGAAGATGGTTAAATGGCGCAATGCTCCTTTGGGGGCGCCGCCCTTATCATGCACAACAGGACTCCTCTGCAGTCGGCAATCACTCTCCCTCTCTCACTATGTGGCAAGGCAAGCCCGAGATTCCACAAGGCACTGATCGACAGTCACAAAGAAGGGAACTCTGTAAGCGAGGGAATTCACTCGGCGTCCCTTTTTTGCCTCTTCTCTCTTTGGCTGCACGGAAATTCCCCTTCGCTCTAGATTGCGCCTCGGTTGTGTTTGTGACCTGAGGGTTGTTGAAATTCCAACACTGAATCGCCACCCCTGGGTGTCCTTTTCTAGCCAGAGAGCGCTTCTGAGAATTTTTTTTCGCCACTGAGAGTGTGAATGATCTCTCCGGAAATGGCTGCCACCGGAGCACGAATTCAAGCAAATTTTCAACCACCTCTCACACCTCAATCAGAAGCACCACACCGGAATTTCCACACTCCCCAGACGAGCTGAGCCCCAAACAATACTTTGAGCGTATTTTCACGAAAATCCACTGGGTATTTTTCCCATAAAATAGCACTGAAAACCGGCGAAAAGTGTCACTTGTTCAACACGTTCCTATGTCGCCATTGGAAGATCTATCAAAAACCGACTGGGATGAGAAGGCGAAGATGGGCTTTTTGGCGGGTAAGATATATACCCCGTTATTGTCTGGATGAACCTCAAAATCCACCAAAAATGTCCACGGGAACACACTCCACGCCACCCCGCACCCTTTTTCACACGGAAAATCCGCAAAATCCCGGAAAATTGACCGCGAAGTGAGGCTTTTTGCGCCAAAAGCCAACCCCCATTGAAGCTTGACACGTCGAAGCATCAAAAAAATTCCTTTTGACAGCCAAGTCATTTCCTCATCCGATTTTCCGCCAAAAAAGCTCTCGCGGAGCGCCATGGGGAGACTCAGCGACACTTTTCCCGCCTCCCGCGGCGTCACAATTTCCACACACTGGGGCGCTTTCCCTCGAATTTCCACGATATACGCGCGCGGGTAGAGTAACTATCGCCACAACACACTCATGGCGTCATGTATTTCTGGGGCTCTGCGCCGCCAACCACAGCCCCCGCCGACCCGCATATTATCTCATCTGACTCCCCAGATCCGTGAGATGCCGTAGAGAGTGATACCGCTGGAGAAATATGTTAATTGCCACAATAAACAGAGAATTGCTGCACGCGGTGAAGCATTTGAAGGTTAGCATTTTGCCACTGCCACTGCAAGCACTCGGCGAAGCGACTTTTTACCTGTACGAGCAAATTCAGAGTCACCATGCCACGCAGCTCACGCCGCACTTATGAAAATTCACACTGCAGACTATTTTGGGGCACTTTTTCGCGCAATTTCAATAAGCATTTCACATCAAAAACGGAGCGAAAGTTTGCGCGAAACTTCCAAACAAACTCTACACTGACAACTGGAAAAGCTCCCCTCCAAAGCGCCACTAAATCGGCAATGCTCGGCCTCTTGGCGGCCATTTGTAAACTTCGCAGCTGTCGTCGGCGTCAGCTGATTGCGATCGTTTCTCTTCTCATATCGCCCTCTCGCTCAGTCTACTCACGTTTGGGCTATTCCCCTCTCATTCACCGCATCCCTTCGCAGAGAAGACCCTTTGAGAAAACAATGCGACTTCTCGGCAATACCTCTTCTTCGTGTCGTAAGGAAAGCGCCAGATGCTGCCTTTTCAAGACCGTTGAGAGACCTTTAACTGCCGCCTGAAATCCTTGCGTCACTGCAAGAACCTTTCCGGATGCTTGCGGGGCCAGAGACACTGAATTGTGCGGAGTTGCTTTAAAACTCTCGCCGTGGCAATTGGATTCCGCTGACCTTGCACTTTTATCGCATAAATTAAATGTTACGGTCGCTGACCCACACTTCCTCATATTGCTTGGCAGTCTTTAAGTATTGATAAAACATTGGCTCAATGTACAAGTAATCTATTCATTGATTCTCAGCCAGGAAAGTCCTGACAATGAATCCTTTATATCGGGGACTCCTTGAATCCACGAGAGGCGTAATCTGCGGGTTTTGTCCGGTCTGACACAGCTGGATAGCCAGGATCGCCAGGAACAACAGCTTTACGAGACTCAATGACACGCCAGCCTCCTTTCCTGGTCCAATCCTAATTGAGAAATGCACGAAAGGCATAAATCAGCATAGGATTTCTACTTGAGATTCCAGAATTTCTTACATTTTGATTGTATTTGAAGTAGTAGAAGCCAAGGTAGAGTGCTGTCAACGTCATCAGCCCCTTCCCTGCCCAGAACCGAATAGTGTAGGCGCGGTAATGGCCCTAAAAGCAGAAGAGTTCCAATCAGAATCTCCCGGAAAGAGGTTATGTGAATTATGTAATGCAACTACCAGTGCAGGCGTCAGTTTCTCCCACAATTTGTTAAGTGGCCACTGGTAGAAGCGGCGAATGGGATTAGTCAGCTCTTGGTGGTATTGCGGCACATGGACTGGCTCATGGGGAGCGAGAATTTGATCCTTGAGCCACTGCTTTCTCCAGGCTCGCTCGGCATCGGTCATACCGAAGAGACGCTCGCGTTCTCTCACTAGCCGCCCCGCAATTGCCATGGGCTTCACGCCCGCCGTCTCAGAAGCGGGTCCCTTGCTCGCCATGGTGGAAAATTACAGGGAATTAGAGAAAAATTCACTATTTTTCTTCTGTGTTTCCTTCACTTGACGTTTCCACGCGCTCGGGCGGGTTCGCAAGCCGATCGGGACACGACGGCGAAAAAGCTCGGGAATAGTTTACTAGTTGAGCTGTGTGGGGGCAGCGCGATCTATCGTGCCAGTGATCGCCCGTGGTTTTCTAAGAGAGTGTTTGTGAATGCTGTTTATTTTGCATTTCATGAAGAAATGGCTGAAATTGACGAATTATTTGAATGCTTCGAGGAGAACCAAGCTCTGAGTACTGAGCAGGTGCCTATGGTGGTAAACGATGAGGCGGAAGAGGAAACTTTGACAGAGTGAGTATTCCCGCACATGTGCCATAACCTCATTTGTGATTCCGGAATATATTTTAATGGTTTTTCTCGCATTCACAAGAAATACTTCAGGTCAGAAGCGCCCCGTGGAGGAGGAATCAGAGAGTGGTCCCACGTCGAAAAAAGTCCATACGGAATCTGTGCTAGATGACATTAGTTTGGAAGTTTTAGAGTCTCGAATCACAATTCATGTGATTGACTCTCCGGAGGCATGCACACATGAAGTGGCTGTGTACCCGGGACAGGAGTACATTCCACTAGAGCCCCTGACGGGTCCACCGGCGAAGGAGTACTCTTTTGTACTGGATCCATTCCAGAAGGAAGCGATTTTGTGCATTGAGAATAACCAGAGCGTCCTCGTGTCTGCTCATACATCCGCCGGAAAGACTGTAGTGGCTGAGTATGCCATCGCCAGATCACTGGCGGCCAAGCAGAGAGTTATTTACACAACTCCCATCAAGGCGTTGTCGAATCAGAAGTACAGAGAGTTCCAGGAGGAGTTTAAAGATGTGGGAATCGTGACTGGAGACGTTACGATAAATCCCTCCGCCTCGTGCCTCATTATGACCACTGAGATTCTCCGGAATATGCTGTACAGGGGCTCGGAGATCATGCGAGAGGTGGGCTGGGTGATTTTCGATGAGATCCACTACATGAGGGACAAGGAGAGAGGCGTAGTGTGGGAAGAGACTCTGATTCTCCTACCTGACAATGTGCACTACGTGTTTCTCTCCGCTACTATTCCCAATGCCCGGCAGTTCGCTGAGTGGGTGTGCCATATCCACAAGCAGCCCTGCCATGTTGTGTACACGGAATTTCGTCCAACGCCTCTACAGCACTACCTCTTCCCGGCCGGTGGCGACGGGATTCATCTGGTGGTGGACGAGAAGGGGCAGTTCAAGGAGGAGAACTTCAATGTGGCCATGACAGTGCTCCAGAACGCTGGAGATGCGTCCAAGGGTGATCAGAAGGGCCGTAGGGGTGGCGTGAAGGCGAACAGCGCAGGCGGAACCAATATCTTCAAGATTGTGAAGATGATAATGGAGCGGAACTTCGCGCCGGTCATCATTTTCTCCTTCAGCAAGAAGGACTGCGAGGTTTATGCGCTACAAATGGCTAAACTCGATTTAAACACGGCTGAGGAGAAGAAGTTGGTCGATGAGGTGTTCAACAATGCCATGGATGTGCTCTCGGATGAGGACAGGAAGCTGCCTCAGGTGGAAAATGTGCTACCACTGCTGAGGCGCGGCATAGGCATCCATCACGGCGGATTGCTGCCCATTCTCAAGGAGACAATTGAAATTCTCTTTGGCGAGGGCCTACTGAAGGCACTCTTTGCCACGGAGACCTTCGCCATGGGTCTGAATATGCCGGCCAGAACAGTTCTGTTCACGGCGCCAACGAAATTTGACGGTAAGGAGTTTCGCTGGCTGACTTCCGGTGAGTACATTCAAATGTCCGGCCGTGCTGGGCGCAGAGGACTTGACGACAAGGGAATTGTCATCCTGATGATTGACGAGAAGGTTTCACCGGCTGTTGGCAAGCAAATTGTCCAGGGAAAGCCGGATCCCATCAATTCGGCTTTCCACTTGACCTATAATATGGTTCTCAATTTGCTGCGCGTGGAGGAAATCAATCCGGAATACATGCTGGAGAGATCATTTTTCCAGTTTCAGAATCAATCCTCCATTCCTGATCTGTACAGGAAGGTGGAGCTGAAGCAGAAGGAGTTACAGGGTATTCATGTGAAGGATGAACACGTTGTGGCGTCATATCACAACATCCGGATGCATCTGAACACGTTGGGGGAGAAGTTCAGGAGCTTCATCACGAAGCCTGAGTATCTGGTGCCATTTTTGCAACCCGGACGGATGGTGAAAGTCCAGACAGAAGAATATGAGTTCGATTGGGGTATCATTGTGAACTTCAAGAAGCAGGAGTCGAAAGTCAATCCTCTGACTAGTAAAACCATCGTCATTGTGGATGTTCTGCTCTATATGGATGATGACTACTCCAAGGACACACTGCCGAAGCCCTGTCCATCGAATAAGAAGGGCTCTGTTGAAGTGGTTCCGGTTCTGCACACTCTCATTGCCAAGATTAGCTCACTGAGAGTCTGGTATCCGAAAGATCTACGACCGGCAGACAATCGACGGAGTGTGCTGAAGACTATTCAGGAGGTGAAGAAGAGATTTCCCCATGGACCATCTCTACTCAATCCTGTCAACGACATGAACATCAAGGAGAAGGAGTTTGTGGCAATTGTTGAGCAAATTGATCAGTATGAGAAGAGACTCTTCAGTCATCCACTTCACGAGGCACCCGAATTGAACACTCTCTACACGCAATACACGCAGAAAGTGCAGATTGAGGCTGACCTGAAGGCGGCCAAGAATGCGCTGAAGGAGGCCAAAAGTCTACTGCAGATGGATGAGCTGAAGAACAGGAAGAGAGTGCTGAGACGATTCGGTTACTGCACGCCGGCCGATGTGATTGAGTTCAAGGGACGCGTGGCGTGCGAACTGAGTTCAGCCGATGAGCTTCTCATCACAGAGTTGATCTTTAATGGAATCTTCAATTCTCTGACAACACCACAATGCGTGGCGTTACTGTCCTGCTTTGTGTGCGATGAGAAGGCTTCAGAGCAGCCAAAAGCCGCCGAGGAGTTGTCAGGTAAGCAAGAAAGAGGTAAATTATAATTATCGATATAAGCTCACACAATGTTGAACTCTTTTTCAGGACCCCTGCGTCAAATGCATGATTTGGCCAAGAGAATAGCCAAAGTGTCGGTGGAGTGCAAATTAGACCTCGACGAGGATACATATTTGGAGCGCTTTAAAACATCCATGATGGATGTTATTTTGCAGTGGTGCAAAGGATCGTCTTTTCTGGAGATTTGCCGGACAACAGAACTGTTTGAGGGCTCCATTATACGATGCATGAGGCGTCTGGAGGAGTTACTGAGACAAATGTGTCAGGCGTCGAAGACTATCGGTGATACAGGGCTGGAGAATAAGTTTTCCGAGGGAATAAGACTCCTGAAGAGGGACATCGTCTTCGCGGCATCTCTGTATCTGTAATTGTATATAAATTAGTTTGATTATCAGCAAGAATAGCGTATGGAAATATCTGAAATATTTTAATTGAATATTTAAAAGAGTTAAGGATTTTTGGAAGCAAATACAAGTGAGAATAAAAATAATAATATAATTCATTATTCTCTGCGTGTGTGAAATTTTTAATTTTTATTCTTGTGACAATTTGACGATTCAATGGGATTTGTGTTAGGATTTGTAACACGAATTTAATTTTTAATAAAACAAATCCTTCAATTTGACTCAAAACGAATTCAAAATACAACCGTCCGCGTGACTTCTTGAATGCGCCCGAATACGGGAAAATCGATACTTTTTAGTACATCCGCTGGCGAGTGTTGTGTACTGTCATCGGCGGGGGGTTGTCGCCACAATCATCCCCATCGTGTGGATGAGCGGAGGCACGCACACCAGGAGCGCCCTTGCGAGTGTGTTGGGGGATTTGTCGCTTTTTTGGCTGATGGGATAGTCACGCGTGCGCCGTGGCGTATAGTAAAAATTCACATCGCGTAAAATACCTTACGTGGAAAAGGCGCTCACAAATTGCAAGAAGGGATATTTTCTGCCGGTTTTCCCTGGAAAAATCAGCAAAAAAGTGAACAAAAAGCGTTTCAGGTGTTCGTGAGAACGTGAATCTTCTGAACAGTGTGCAGAAATTGTGAATTTTCACACGTTTTCTCTGGTTTGGGGGTGATTTTCTGGATTTTTCACATTGCCACTCCGCTCAGGACTCCTGCGGAAATCGATGCCAATGCATTATTGGCCTTGAAGTGGGTGAATTGGCGAGGGAAAAAGGCGCCCCACGGTGGTTGTGACCAGGCAAGAGCGAGAGAAGGGCGCCAGGTGGGATTAGTGAGCGACATACAGCTTCGCGAGGGTGGCCGTGGAACTATGGCGCTACTTTTATCAGCCTAATTACACCTCTCTCTTTCACCCACCAAAGCCCGTCAGGAGAGTGCGCCCCCGCTGCGAGGGCGGCTGTAGTGACTTGTGAGTGAATCACATAGGAATTTCTGCCCGGAAAGAGAATGAAAAGTGCTTGAGGAAATTCCCTGGAAAGTTGCGAAGAGTGATTGTGAGAATTTTCTCCCAGAAAAGAATTCAAGAATATAACTTCGTGGGGTGGAGAAACCACCCAGAATATTTTCCCATAATTGTGAAAAAGAGTGTCTCCCAAGAGAGGCGTGCAAATGACGAAGGAGTGTTCAATAGGCACCAGTGCGAGAGAGTGAAAAATGTTGTGTAAATTTCCCAATTAGTCTGTGACGTGTTTTATGTGCAAGAACGCAAAAGGACATCCCCCAAAATGGATACAGCCATCTATAGAGTCGCTCTGCTGGCGCTCCTCGCGGTCACGCTGCTACCTCAAGTTGCACCGGATCAAGATGAAGACATTCCCCACAATGAGTAAGTATAAGTATTCTTTCCACTTTAACCTCACCGCAGGATTATTAAATGTTTTTGTGAAATCAATTGACACGTTTCTTGATATTCAAGTATGAGAGTGTATATGAAAATCGAAAAGTATTTCTATTTGGATCATTTCGTAGAGAAGAGAGACAAAATAAAGTGTTTTGTAATAATTTACAGTCTTTGGTAGTATAAACCAAGTACAAAAAGTTAGAATATAATAAAGGTTTTTTTTATGTCACTGTACGCCAAATATAAATAATCTCATTTTTCCTCTGAACTTTAATTCAGCAAGCAATTTGAATCTGAAATAAAGACTACAACAAGCTAAGTGTTAATGCAATAACTAAAACTTTACAAAATAACATATACATATAAGTTTTGTATGAAGCGCAGTGAACAGTCTGGAAAATAGAATAGAATTATTATTTTCTATTCCCTGGGTGAAAATGGCCAATAGAACGTCAAGCCCATGTTTGGTAAGTTAACTCAATTATGAAGCAAATATAAAACTTGACGCTGTGAGTCGCATCGGCTGAACTCTGAGGACGAGGAAACTCGGAGTCTCACTTGGTATTATCTGTGCCTTAGGAATATTTCATGAGTTTTCCACCCTGTTTGAAAATAGTGCAGAATGATTTATTAATTCACTCGATTTCCGCTCTCTCTTTCTCTGAATTACTCCTCATGGCGCCAAAATTCAAGGCGCCCACCGCCGCCCGCCTCCTCGATGCTCGAGTGACGGTTCCAGGGCGGAATGTGAAATGTGTGAGTGAATAATAAATCAATAAGCGGGCAACAAAAGACTGGAAATTGCTTGCTCATTAGCCACGAGACGATTCCACCATCCCCGATGGGGCCAATTTTATAGAGTGACCCCCTCCTTCCTCCCCGCCCTGCTCAATTATGTGGCTAACGACTCCACTTTGGAGGGCCTCGCACATACACTGATTTATGACCCGAAACATCAACCCGAAAAGCACATACAAGGGAGTGAATCAGCCCCCCGTTCAATTCGATTTTATGTGTGTGAGGTAGTCCATACCTAGGCCACTTTAAAAAGGTGAATCATCGGGCACAAAAGCAGCTCTCGGTCAAACTATTCCCAAGGGGGAGATGATATGATGTCAAGTGGTGTACAGATCAGCGGACATTTGCTTTTCTGATTTTTTTTGTTGATGATTGACGATTCATTAACAGACAGAATTCAGTTACTAAACAACCTACAGGAATATCCTTTGTGCGTCTCTAAATCATAAATACTATAATTTATTAGCCAGAATCTTGAATGTGCACTTAAACAAAATTGCAATTGATAAGAAAAGTTGATAAAATTCGTTTTTAATTTCTTTTCCTAATCAAGGATGACAAGATAATTGACACAAACACTGCTTTTTGACGAGAAACTAATTTTATAACCATAGCTTTGATTCATATCTTCAGAATTTCTACTAAGGCATGAAGAAATAGTTGAAGTAGACTAAAAAGTACTGCGGATGAAAAGAAACACTTAAAATTTTAGGCACTGCTCAATTTGTAGCAGTCGTAATGATGTTTTTTAAATATAAATTAAGGTACAGATTGCGGCCACACTATCTCCCCCTTGACCATTCCCTCGCCGGTCGCCTGGAGCGATATTTACTGCCGCCAAATGTGAACCATTCTGTGGCCAAGGATTCGTGGGCTTTTGTGCTGTTCCCGCGAAATTGTCAAGATGACTTTTCGGGGGATTTTATTGGGCGATTTATTGCTTGTAAATTGCTCTTCGATTGAATATTTGGGGATGAGTTGAGAGGTACGCACTCGGGGATTTTACAGTCGCCTCGGCACAAAAAAAACCGGCACTTTAGGCGGGAAATCTGCAAGAGCATTAATTTTGAGGGAGAGTGGAAAGCTGTGAGTCTGAACGGCGGCGCGAAGGAAAAATATTTGTGTGATCAAATTATGAGATAAATTCCAGCTTTTGCTGTTCGATTTTATTCGCACTTTCTCAACGATGAGAAATGTTTTAATGCACAAGAAGACGGGCAATTCGAGCGTGTCAGAAAAACATTGTGAAATTGTATTTATAGAGAGGCGAAACGTTGGATTCACTTTCTCATGGTCGCATTTTGTGCCTCGCAGAGGAAATAGGCATTTATGGGGAGCGATTAGGATCAATTCCAGTGAGATGTCGAAAAAAAGAGACTTGCGAATCAAGTGGAAACTAAAAGACTCTCTCTATTCTGCATTCTCCACACCATAAATTCACGTCACACTGGCATTATTCAATAAAATGGCGAGTTCATCCGCAGCTCCACTTGTTTCCGGATGTTAAATGATATAGAAAAATAGAGGAGGATTAATTATTTGATAAAAGGCACCGACGAAGAGTTTGCGTGAAAAAGCTGCGGGAAAGGGTTTGGAAATTAGTTTTATAAAGCGTGGGTTAAGTGGTGAAAACTTTAAATGAGCTTTTTGTGGCTTTCTCGCATTTCACACACACACACGTAATATTTTCCAAACATGGTAAAAAACATATTTCATTCTCCATCCATGTTTGCCCGCACTTTAGCGCGGCGAGAAGGGGTGGCACAAAGAGGGAGAGAGAAAAAGTGGCCATAAGGGAGATGCCCAACAAATACACAATAAATTTTCTATAACATCCGAATGATATCAATTATAGCACCCAAACAAGATACGGAGGAAATGCACTCGTTGACAGAATAATAAATAGTTGTTCCATTTGGCCCTCCATTTCTTGTCCCGCCGCGCCTCACAATTAATTAGTCTCTCATGGAACCTAAGTAAAAAGTCATCTCTTGTTCTTCTTCTCTTCTTGCAGAGTACGGAATTGGGCACTAAAGTTCGGCGTGGACCTGTGGGAGTTTGGCAGGCAATTTACCAAGATGAACGACATCAAAATGGTAAGAAAACAATATTCTCAAAAGCATCCAAAGCATCATTCTTTGAACCTCTCTTTTGCATTTTGCCAAATTGCGCAAATCTCATTTAAAATGCAGAGTACGTGCATTTAATTTGCTCCACTTTCGTGTTATCACGTAAATATTTAGAGCACTAACAAGTTGAGAATTTCAAATGATTATAGAGCCAAAAAGCTAGAATTTCTCCACCTAATTTGGACACTCTTTCAATAAATATCTTATATACATAAATTTGCTGTCAGAGAAAGCTGATATTAATTAAGAAAAGAAAAACATTTTTCGCTTAAGTATTTTTGCAAAAAGAAAGTCATATGACATGTATACTAGATAGGAAGTTTTTGTAAAAACTTCCCTATCACAGTATTTTCCTCTCTCCTGAAAATTCGTAAATTTATAACATAAAATATAGTCCGTGAAATGTTGAAATTTCTGAAAAAATTGGTCGATGACCGAAAGGCAAATTAATATTACTGTCCTTGATGAGAAGCCTCAAGCGCTTGTGCTTCTGTGGCTTGTGCATCTTAGTAGATATTGCATTCTTGGTAATAGATTCTTGGGCAAATTCATGCTTTTGAGCGGTAAACCTCTGCTATTCAGCATTACTTGAGATGCAAAATTATTAAATATTGCATAAATTAGTGACTACATCAATTGTTGAGGTCTTTAGCAATTGACTCCTATTCAAACACATCTTGCCCTTGAAATCAATGATCAGGGAATAATAAAGTGGAGAAAATTGAAATTGAATTAAGGCGAAGGAATAAAAAGCAGAGGCGAATCGCATTAAATACTTGCAACATGTGTCTTTAGTTAAGTGAGGCACGTAATACAATTTGTTTCCCCACGAGGGAAATATTGCGGAGGGTTGGGTATCTTGCAGTGACCCACATTCCATGATCATGAGGACGAGCGACTTCATGTGTATTTCCGTCTGTGTGGGGGTGAAAATCACCCGACCCCCTGCAAGTCAGCCTTTGGGCGAAAACGGACTGAACGGGGGAGGGGGGCATGTCTTACTATTTTATTTTGGCCAGATGGACGACGAAGAACGCGCTCGCCGGAGGCAACTTGAGTGCGGCTTTCCCGAGTTTTACGATAAGAATTTTTTAATGCCTTCTTTCTCCACATCTTCCTCGTGTCCTCACACAAGATGCTCCGCAGCACGAGGACGAGAGGACGAGTTTCAACGTTGAGCTTTTAATATCTTATGGGTGGAAGACGCGCGCGCGAGAGCGAGAGGGTCTGAAAATTTAATTTTGCACGAAGAAAACTGTGAAAACTATGTGGAGATCCCATCATTTTTTTTGCTTCGCGCGAGATGAAATTTCTTCCTCTTCTCACGAGTGTCTTTCTCGTGGATATTTCATGAGCAATTTTGAAACATTCATTATCGCAATCAGCACCCGATAAAGTTGTTGCTTATGGCTTGAGCGCTTGAGACTTTTCGCCCAATTCCAGCCATATTCGAGGAGACTTTTGCACACAATGTGACAATGTCAGACTTGACAGAAGCGTGATTTACAGCCACTTTTCGCGCAGTGGTAATACGGAAAATAAAATTAATTGAACGAAATACTATAATTTTTTTTTGAATAATTTCAATTATTGCAATTTGGTGGTGGTAAAGCACGCGCTCAAGATGAAGTGTAATTAATGCCTCCATAAAGCGTCTCATTAATTTGTCCATTTCTGGCTCACGGGGCTTCCTCAATTTGCAGAGGAAAAGCCAGTCGGAAGGAGGAAAAGATTTACCGCCAATATAGACTTTTTCACTCTGTGGCATTTGATGCTGTAATGGAATTAATTAATGAGCAATTTCTCTTGATAAATCACCTCCAATGCGATATGGCCAGAGGTTGTGTGTTAAAAATTGTGGTGGGTCGTTAATTAAATGAGCATGTTTTGAGACGATGAAAGAATGGACGAGGGGAGAAATGCATCCATGGGAAGCGAGAGGGTGAGAGAGAGAGAGAGAGAATAAATTCTTGCCAATGACACTTTTACCCTTTTTATACTCTGCCTCAATTTTCTAGCTTGTTTCCCATCGCTGCAATCTTCCCCGCGCCGCAAATTTCTGCCGGAACGAGAAATAAAGGGGATGTGGCGAATAGTATACCTACATGTATAAACTGATGCATTTTCTTCTTACTTTCTCTGTTTTTTCCATGTGGCGACGCTGCATAACGTGTTTTTTCGGCCTGCACCATCACCTAAACGACTCCGCACACACTTTACAGAGATATAAAGACTCTGACGTTGACGTAGTGAGAAAGGATGGAATTTTACTACTACGGGAAATGGCAGCTGAAGTTAAGAATTTCATGGATTTCAAAATGAATGCAGTCATGGTGAGTAACTTTTATTACACACATGCACACACACACACACACAGGCACACACGCCAAACTCCACTCATTTCCACGGAGGGTCTTTTCTTTTTTTGTCACACCGCACAAAGCCTCGGAAAAGCTCCCTCTTCTGACATCCCACACTCAATATTTTCCCCATCAAATGCACTCCATTGAGGACGTTGAAATGGATGGTGGCAAAGTCGGTGCGAGAATTTGAAAGAAATTCAAGAAATTACGGCTTTTTTCTTCACCTCCAATTGCGAATCCATCAGAGGGCTTCTTGTTGAGGAAATATAACTATTCAGCACCTGCTTGTTATTTTCTGCAAAATTTCTTCTCCTTGTCACACACCTTTTCACATTTCCTTTTGTGTGACTCAATTCTTTGGTAAATTTCCGTTACTGAACTTTTGTGAGAGACGGGCTCACTTGAAGTGATTTTATTCTTCGCATTTTTCTTTTGGTGAGAAGCAGAGAAGTATTGGATATTAATTTGGCAGGAAACTTTTGTCAGAAGAATCTTCAACTCGAAGTTGGAAAGTTTTTGATGAGTGAACGTGAAATGTCTAATTTATTGACGAGAAATTTTATTATGAAATTCCATTTTGAGAATCGCTATAGAACATGAATAGATGATTCTGACATAAATACAGTAGATGAAGTTGCAAAAATTCTCCTCTTTGGAACGAGAAAATCGTGTCTATTTGAATTGCAGTCACTGTGCACAGTGAATCTGCGTTGAGAATGGGAGAGAAAGGATAAATATAAACATGAGAAGTCATTCTAATGATAAGGAATACTGCGACATGACACTTAAATCACCCAAAATCCACGTGTCTAGCACGTCTGACTCCTGCTGTAACATCTCCAGAGTGGAAATACAGTGTAACAGTGGAAAATGTGCTCGGAAAGTGTGTCTCTATTTCACAACATTAAGTTGTCTCTCGTATAGCAGGTGAAATAATAGCAGGAGGAAAACTGAATAAAATGGGAAATATTGTGCAAGAAATATTGGATACAACAGCGACGAATTCAGGTGAAATGAATATTTTTGTCTGATAAAATGGAAATCGATGCCAGCCAAGGCTGCGACTTCAACCCTCGCCTTTTTTACAATTTGTTTTATTGTGCTATTTTTTCTTCCTTTCCGTGCCTCGCTTTCCCAATTCAAGGCGTTTAGCGCATTTATATTTTAAGGATTTTATGCCTTGTAATGTTTTCCAATACCTTAAATGCGGCCAAGAGAGACAGAGAGAGAGAGAGAGAGAACTATTAGATTCCTCACATTTTTCCATTCAAGATGACTTGGGATTTTGTCCTTATGATGCTTGGCCCCTTCGAAATCCTTCTTGCTCTCAGTGTGGCGAGACAAAAAGGCGAATCAATATGAAAAGTTGTGGATTTTTCTGCATATTTTATCCCATGTTTTGGAAGATGTTTCCCACAAAACACAAAAACTCTCCCCCACTTTTCAGGGCGAAAATATATGGGAATTTAAACATTGAGGAGGATAAGGAGCAACGCTCTCTGAATAATATCTCTTCGGATTTTGCATAAAAATCGAAGAAAGAGCCGAGGATGAAGCGACATGGGAAGTTTTCTTCCTTTTCACTGTTCTGATGTTGGGAAAGTTTGAGAGAGAGCTTATGGGGGAAGTAGGAAGATATGTACATATATACCAAAGCTTTTTATTGCCGGGAAAAGTCACGAAAATGGGCACTACACAGCGGTCATTTAGTGCATTTGTCGATCAATTCATTGGCACATTGATGGAATATTTCCGGGCGCAGATAAATGTGCATTATTACCTGATTGCAATCAATATTTCGATGGATGGATTTAAAATTGGAATGCAGGCCATAATTGCTCTACTTTCGATTTCGACAGCATACATATCGTTCTATTTACTATGGCGAACGTGACAATGTGGCGTTGCAGAGTCTATTAGTGGTGGCAAAGAGATGATGTGTCTCTTTTGCATCTGCCTCGGATCGGAATGACTGCATGTGGGGCGTGTTTGGGAGGACAAAAAAGCTGCGTCGTATCTCACATTTATAATACTTTGTCTGCTCCATTCAGCCATTAGCGTGAGGGTTGTTAAGTGGGTGGGTGGGTGATTGAGAGTCAGACAGACAGATACAATTGTTGAGATGTGTGTCTGTGCCTTTGCCGCTGAAGTGGCATGATGAAGAAGCATCCCTCGAGAGCACATTGAACTTGATATCTCTGCTCTCTCATCCCTCGCGCGCCTTACTTCATCAACCTCGCGCGAGCTTTGGCAGTGGTGTGAGCGGTTGTTGGAAGAAAAAATGGAGTGTGGATGAGTTAAAATCGGCGAAGGGAAGCGGAGACATATAAAAATGAATAAAATGACAATCGCACGAGGAAATATGTGTGTATAGAGTGGGAGTGTGTGTGTGTGTGTGTGTGTGTGTTTGTGTCTGGTAGGGTGTTGATGATGAAAACTGAGATGGTGAAACCAAATCTTGACTCACCGCGTCATAAATAATAATTAATCTTCATCACATCAGCAAATATTATACAATCGTCGATGGTCGGCATGTCAGGGATGTGAGATGGGGGTGCTCGATGTGTGGGTGGCCTGTGGGCGGAAGAAGTTACCACAGGAAGGAGATTTGGTGGTTGGGAGGACTTTCGACTTGCTTCACTCTCTCAATATGGCTCATAATAATATTAAAATAATAATTAAACTCACACCCAACAATTTCTCACATAATTTGCCCTCATTCTCTGTGCCCTTTTCGCATATTAAAGGGAAGAGCTTTCTTTATATGTTCATTCCTGTCACTTTCAACAGTTAAATTATTTAAATTATGACTTTTGCTCACTCGTTTTATTTCAAAACATATCAAAGAGACTCAAAAATACTTTAATCTTGTTAAGACAAAGATTTAATTCAACATACATATTCCACCCACATCCTCGTCATTCTCGCAGAATAATTTTAATATATACTCAATTATAATGCAATCAGAAATAATTTATTCCCTCTCCCAACTCAGCATAATTAACAGCTCTTTTCACAATTTACAAACATATTCAAAAATGAAACACTTTGTTTGCCTAACACACGCGGAAATGTAAAGAAAATTTACCCACGAAAATCGTTAATTTTAATTGTCAGTTAATCAGTTCCCGCACTTCTATCTCTACCAAACGCGCCACCCACTGTTTTTGGCTGGTGGGAAATGTGTTTTATTCAATAAACTTCCGCATATGCGTCGTCGCAGTCCTGCTGAAAAATCCACCCCATCTCTCAAGCCAGGGTCGAAAGGAATATGCTTAAAGAATGCCCTATATTCTCGCTGGAAAATTCCTTCTTTGAAGCACTTGTCATTCTCAGCAGCCTTTCTCAGCTCTATTGTGCATTTTTTGCGAGCTTCGTTGTATTTTTCACTTGTTTGATGAATGAAATGTTGGTAAAAGTGATTCTGCCGTGAATTTGTTTTATCTGCGCAAACTTGAAGGTCTCGTAAACCGAAAAGTAACGGTTTTACAAGATCTAAATTCCATCTCGTGATGCGAAGTCTGCGTGGAAAACGATCGATATAGAGGATAATTTAGGAGTCAATTTGGCGTCCTTCTTCCTGGATGGTATTGGTTTTATTAGTTTCTCCGCGGTGTGTATTGAAATTTGAACTGAAAAAGCAGAGAGTGTGGCGAAGAGAGTGAAAAAATGAGAAACAGAGAAGCAGAAAATGTCAAGTGAAATCAATTCCGAGCGAAGAAATATGGTCTCTTCCATCCTAATCTCCACACGCTACTCTTGGACTTATGTAAGTGGAGAGAAATTTCACTTAACAAGAAGCGCCAGGAGGTGGATCGGGGGCACAGAATGAGAGAAGTGTGTGAGGACGAATTTTGTTTTGGCAAAAATCCCAGGAAATTAACACATAGGGCACAATTTATTCTTCCGGTGACTGTTACAATGTGAATGAAAAGGTGAAGGCGAAGTAGATGTAGCAAGAAGATGGCGGGAAGAAAGAGGAAAATGAGTGTCGCAAGAACGGAAAACGCACAGAGTCTAAAATTGAACCCAAGGGAGGATGAGTGCCTGCGTGTTTTTCCAACTGGACCATCTTTTGCCGCGTCTCTTTGCAAAGTGCGCGCGGGATGAGAGTTTTTCTGTAGCAAATTTCTGTATTTGGCTTCTATTTAATTTAGTGTTAATTGCACAGGAGATTTATGACATTTTATAAAATTAATTTTCTGCCCTGTTTTGCTATATATTCCCTCGGCCTAAAAAACATACACACGCTCTCTCTCTCTTTTTCATGCGAAGGCGCGTGAGAAAAAAGTCTCTTTCGCCCTCCCTCGCTAGCAGACCATCCTGTGAATGGGTTAAAACAATTAAATTAAATTAGTGTGACACCGGGAAGAGATTAGTAGTTTCACAGAGTGGCAAACTGTGTGTGAAAATTTGGGAGAGAGCAAAATTTTTCATATGTTTTCCTGATGTCTTTGGCGCTGGATAAATTTATTATTCAATGTGAAGCACGGTGAAAGGTCATTCATTTTATGAGTCTTTTATAGTCCACTCTTAGGTTTTAATTCTACCGCCCACATTAGCCATGTTACGTACAGTTGAGAAAATGTAATTAAAACCTTCTCTCTCTATTCATAGCTTCATCAAAATCTCCCTGTTTTTCTGGAGACATTGGCCGATCTATTAATTACTCTTTGATAAATGAAGATAGACTTAAAACATTGATGCTACTGATAATTGACGAGGTGGCTTCAATTAAAATATCGCAACTGTGCTTGTGTATAGTTAAAATGAATGAGAGGAACCCTTTGACTTTAGATTGAACTCTGCAAAGGATCATAACTTTCATAGAAGGTTCTCTCGCAGTAATAACTGATGAACATGGCTTTCAGGCAGTTTATTATAATCCACTGAGCATACATAGATTCACATAGAAATACACAAACAATATGAATTTTAATATCTTTATTTCATGAAAGAGAGGCAATTTT